TTACGCAAGAGATCCAGCAATTCACCCAAACATCTTGTGACGTGTGTCGAACTAATGGAAGATATATTTGATTGGGTAGCCTGGACATAACGTTTGGAACCAACAACTACCATACTGATCCGCAGTAACGCCTAATGCCTCTAGGCCTCGGATGTGAATGTTTATTTGATCATAAACAGACCTCAATTGCTTAATGTTTTCACCTTCACGCGCTTTGATTTTTAAAAGAGTACGGATAGGCCATGCGTTTACACGGGAACTGGTGGATCCGTATACTTTTGGATCCGCTATCCGAACACTTTTAGGATCGCTTTCAGAGCTAATCCCATATGGATCCGATCTGGACCGGATCCCGTGTAAAAGTGGATCTGGTCCAGATCGGAACTGTCTACACTATTTGTCGAAAGGTAGTTTGAGTATGTAGTCCGTGGCTTTTTGGCGCCAGAAAACTGAACATCAAGTTGATAGACTGCTGTGTTGAAGAATTATTACGAAACTTTGACGATATTTCATCATACTTGGTCCTCATATTTTCCCAATCCTGTCCACCTGCAAGCTTTGCAGTTTGGTAGTCCAATGATACTTGTAAAAGTAGCACAGTTTCTTCTTCAGTCCACGAAAATTTACCCTTTTTAGCGTTACCTCCCTCCATGTTCAGGTTGAACTTTGTTTTGATCACGCACGAAGTTCTGAAAATGTCATTTGCACGCCAATTTTCGGAAAGCGCATGTGCGTAACCTGTTTTCATCTGGACCCGTTCACATGTAAACGCAAATGGTTCTGGATCGGATCCCGTGTAAACGCATTGCCATTTCAGGGATCGGATCCAAAAGTATCCGGAGATTCAAAAACCCTTTTGACATCCAAAAAGGCAGAATTACCAATAATGGTATCAGATCATTAAGTTTTCAAGGGCCTAAAATCTTAAATTCTCTCCCGGAATCAATAAAGACAGCACAAAGTACTAGACAATTTAAGAACTTGATCAAAACTTGGTTCCTTGAAAACAAGTGCGCATGCTCATTTTGCAGTAAATGAACTGTCTTATGCAATCCTTGAAATTGCTTCATGTTAGTCTTAATTAATGTATATTCACTATTGTAAAAAATAACATTAAATAATCTGCAATACAATACAATACAATACAATACAATACAATACAATACAATACAATACAATACAATACAATACAATACAATACAATATTGTTTTGTTTTTCTCTTCTGGTGGGCGAGAAACGAATAGGCGCGCAAAATCTGATAGAAGAAAGCTCGAAGCACCATGTTCAAAGCACCTCCAATTGGATAATTTATTAGCCTCGTTTCCTATCCGTGCTAATTTGGGATCGATCCCACCTTTTCGAGCGTTTACACGAGACGGGATCGATCCCAAACTGGATCGATCCCAAACTGGAACGCTTTCCGAAGCGAACCCAAATTAGCACGGATTGTGGATCGATCCCAAGCGTTCCCGTGTAAACGGAAGGCCGAACCCTACCAGATTGGGATCGATCCCGGCCTGGATCGATTCCGTGTAAACGGGGTCTAAATATAAATATATAGAAACTAAGGATTTCTTATCAAATCCGTAAGCGGATAACTTCGCTATCAGTAAGTCGTGCGGTATATGATCAAAGGCCTTTGATGAATCCACCAGGACAGGACCTACGATTTGATCGTTGATAATTTCAGTTTCCAATATTCAATTGGTTTTATCAACTTGTGAAGAATTTGTAAAGAATCTCTACGGATTAAGATTCAGTTATCAATAGGCTTTAAGGATTTTACTTTTCAGCTACAAGTAGCATTAGCTTTATTCGGGTATCAGCCAACCAAGATTAAAAACCTGATAAATCTTAGTCTTATTAATCAAAGAAAGATTCTATCAATTAATTTCAGTAAGTGACATTTTTTCAACAAGCCGTGACAAGATTCCGTGGGCTATACTTTCTAAAATGGCTGTTTCTACGGTTGTATAAATTTACTTTAATGAAGAGTTTGAACAGAATAGCACTGGTTGCGGTACCGTTTATCTCTATGGATCAAGTCAAATCAACCGGAATCCTGAAGATCTTTTGTCAGCTCAATCATTTTATCGCAGCCAATTTTGAGCATATTTATCCAAATTTGCACAGTTAGAGGTAATCCATTGTGTTCTTTTAGACAGTTTTTTCAAAATTCAATCATCTAACAGAAGATTGTTATGACGTCATACTACTAAACTGCTTAAATTTTGCCACCAAGGCTTATTTAAACCTTGCAAACTTAATCAAAGATTAAACAGAGGGATATTGTTTAGGTAGGTTGGAAAAAACTAAAAACCCAACGTGATAAACCGTCTGCCAGAAGCAGAAAGAAAGTTTGTGGTAGTGTTTGAAAAAAAACTATGTTTTTCACAATTTAGTAGTTAATAATGAGATTTAATTTTTTCTTTCTTGAGAAACAGTTGACAAATTTTCGCAAAGCTGGATCCGTCCCTTAATGATATATAGTCCTTGCCATTGATGGACTGAGCTCTTCTCCAAGAGCAAGAGCAAGAGATTCAAAAATTCTTTGTTTGCTTTGTTAGACTAATTTTTATCAGGTTTTTCCTTGGCTGGTGGATATCTCAATAAAGCCAATATTACTTGAAACTGAAAAGTAAAATCCGTTGTTGAATGTCGTGGTAATGTCATGGTCGAGAATTCAATACGACCCTGAATGCGCAAGGCCAATTGCTATTTTTCACAAAGTTATGTGTATCAAAAAAGTTCTATCCTTTCTCATAAGCATTTAAGCTCCAAATTTCAAAAACTGTTTTAAGTCTGTTTTTGGCTCATGGGAGAGGTGCTATCTTCTTTTGGCAAGAAATAGAGAAGAATCTATTCCTGTTCTATTGATGTTTTTGTTTCCTTCCTATCTTGATCTCTTTTCTGTTATATTTTAACTTCAATATCAAAGCTTTTTTGTTAAAATCTGACCGCTAATAAAAACTGGATGTCATTTCACCTATCACATTTTTATAACTGGCAGCGATCTAATTATTTTTAGTACCTTAGTCAAAGTCTGCTGTACCACATCAGTTGCATATTTCAATATTTATTGCATTGAAACGCGTTCCGGGAATATCTGTTTCCTGGCTAAATATACCTTGGCCTGTTTGTGCCTTGTGTCAAGTTCCACATTTCATACAGTATTGGTTTTTGTTGCTCTTTGTTTTCTTTAATGTTAGATGTAAGACTTTCCATGCAACTTGTTAAAACATCTAAAAATCGTCAAAAATGTTTTTTATTCAGCTAATCTTCTATTGATCTTCAATTCTCTTTTTAGGGAGAGAATTTTTGCCGAATCTCGTACAATTCAATTATAGTAAGAATCCCATCTATTTTGTCAATTGCATTCAGACCCTAACTTGATATTTCCGTGATATTGATTCGCTGCTGCGATTTTTTAAATGAGCCGACTACCAGAACAAAAAATTAAACTAATAGCTATTGTCAGCCTTCACTGCTTCTAGAAAAAAACGTTTTATTGTTTAGAGAGAAAATTACGAGTATTAGGTTGGTTACAGCGAAAATATGTCAAGCTTTTTGTCAACTCTCAATTTACGTGTTTTTACTTTGATGTTGTACTCTTGGAGAGACGTACGTATATGTGATTGATTGAGTTCTTTTGAAGTCGAATATATTGCAGTTTTTAGTGAAATATTTAGACTCCATAGATGTTTTGTCAGTTAACATATGGATAAAGTTCCTTGCTTTCAATTGCAGCCGGGAAGAAGCAGCACAGAGATGGGTACATTAATCTCGGAGCTGATCCATACTATTATACAGTCAGATTGCAGATTTTTCAATGATCGATTATTTAAAATTTAGGTTTCCAAAGTTCTTTAATGTTTAATTAGAGTGTAATATTTTGATATATAGGAATTTGCTTATATTATTTCTAGAACTTAAATGTAACGCCGTTTACCATAGATATGTAGAAATTCATATTCTTTAAAGTGTGTGTTTAGTCTATGTTTCTAACTAAACCTGGACTGTGAAATTTAAGGAACCTTGGAAGAAGGCCTTATTCTCAGTATAAAACAAGCGCTTGTAGCTGCTTTTTTGTAAAGATAGCTGGTCTTTTGCAAAGATAGCTGGTCTTTTGCAAAAGTAGCTGGTCTTTTGCAAAGATAGCTTGTCTTTTGCAAAGGTAGTTGGTCTTTTGCAAAGGTAGCTGGTCTTTTGCAAAGGTAGCTGGTCTTTTGCAAAGGTAGCTGGTCTTTTGCAAAGGTAGTTGGTCTTTTGCAAAGGTAGTTGGTCTTTTGCAAAGGTAGCTGCTTTTTTGCAAAGATAGCTGGTCTTTTGCAAAGGTAGTTGGTCTTTTGCAAAGGTAGTTGGTCTTTTGCAAAGGTAGTTGGTCTTTTGCAAAGGTAGTTGGTCTTTTGCAAAAGTAGCTCGTCTTTTGCAAAGGTAGCTGGTCTTTTGCAAAGGTAGCTGGTCTTTTGCAAAGGTAGCTGGTCTTTTGCAAAGGTAGCTGGTCTTTTGCAAAGGTAGTTGGTCTTTTGCAAAGGTAGTTGGTCTTTTGCAAAGGTAGTTGGTCTTTTGCAAAGGTAGCTCGTCTTTTGCAAAGGTAGCTGGTCTTTTACAAAGGTAGCTGGTCTTTTGCAAAGGTAGTTGGTCTTTTGCAAAGGTAGTTGGTCTTTTGCAAAGGTAGTTGGTCTTTTGCAAAGGTAGCTGGTCTTTTGCAAAGGTAGTTGGTCTTTTGCAAAGGTAGTTGGTCTTTTGCAAAGGTAGCTGGTCTTTTGCAAAGGTAGTTGGTCTTTTGCAAAGGTAGTTGGTCTTTTGCAAAGGTAGCTGGTCTTTTGCAAAGGTAGCTGGTCTTTTGCAAAGGTAGTTGGTCTTTTGCAAAGGTAGCTGGTCTTTTGCAAAGGTAGTTGGTCTTTTGCAAAGGTAGTTGGTCTTTTGCAAAGGTAGCTGGTCTTTTGCAAAGATAGCTGGTCTTTTGCAAAGGTAGTTGGTCTTTTGCAAAGGTAGCTGGTCTTTTGCAAAGATAGCTGGTCTTTTGCAAAGGTAGTTGGTCTTTTGCAAAGGTAGTTGGTCTTTTGCAAAGGTAGTTGGTCTTTTGCAAAGGTAGCTTGTCTTTTGCAAAGATAGCTGGTCTTTTGCAAAGGTAGTTGGTCTTTTGCAAAGGCAGTTGGTCTTTTCTTCTTCAAAAAATAATCTTGATTGTATTGAAATGGAATTTTAAGCAGCTTGGTTAGAGAGTGATGTCATAACCTGCACTTTGAGGTTAACGCAAAAAAAAACACTACTACTTCGCAAAAAACATAACCAGCATAAATGAATTGATACGTATAAATGATAGGCTTTATTAATAACGACTCTGCTCCAAAGAGAGTCCATAGTTTGTTAACTATTTACAAGGATAGGGCAAATGAACAGGTAACAGCTCACTGAAATACACCAATAAAATCCTACTGAATTACATCCAAAATTAGCTGTGTCTTCAATGGTCAGAATATTTAAATGCAGTTCGCTCGTAGATCAATCGCTTGAAAAACATAATCGCCAAAAACCTCTTTTCGTTTATTTCGGGTCTTTGCAAATCCTCGTCGCCAATTATAATGCCTCAAGTAGGTTTGAAACTTGGTATTATTGATTGAAGATCGCCGTCCTAGACATAAAGGGACTCGACCCTAGTGACCGCAAAACCGGGGGTGGCGCCTCTACACTATAAGTGAGATTTTGATATCATTTTAAACATGTAGCTGAGACATGATTCACATTAATTAAAAAAACGGGCCCAGAGCTTTATTTGGCCCTAGCAAACCCCTTGGATGACTGCTTGGCATGGAGAAATAGAGAACTTTAGAGCCAGTGCCACTACGAGTTCGAGTATGGTTCGAGCAAAAGTTTCGAGCACTGTGCATTTACTCTGCTCAAAAATAGCGGGAATCACCTTGGAAACTCGTTATATGTTGGCGCGTTCACTGCGAAATTTTTGACAAATCTCGTTCTGCGATAAACAAGTTTTCAGTTGTTTTGCAACATACATGCAGTATCCGCTGTAGATCCATCATCAAAGTCATTATTAGCACCTTTCCATTACCCAATTTTTGTACGCCTGGAAGCGCATATTTGCCTCCATCACATGTTCATCATTTTTTATGAGAACGGGGCGTCAAATGTTTAGATTATCCCACTAAAGGCGAGATCCATTTGTGTTAAAGTGCTAAAATAATTGGAAAGTTTACGAATATTGGTTCGGATGTTATCATTAGCAAATTCTCAATTTTGTCTTTAAAGATATAATGTTATTGTTGGCATCATTTCATAAGACTTATAAAGTTTAATCCCCTTCTCTAACTCTATCCCCTATGTGACAGGCCCATTCTGATTTAGACGTTTTAGTCTGGGGTGGATGATTTCCCTTTGCTTTTAATCTTAACAGAAATTATTCTTTAGTTCTGCATTCTGAAGATTGAATTCACTGCTATGTACAGCAGTTACTAGTTATTCCCTTTCAGCGAATCACTCGTGGGGTGTATCACTCTTTCCAAGCAGCGTACGAGATTTTTAAGAACAATAGGATTTTTCGGGATTTTAATGGTTTTTTTTTCGAAAGTAAAAGGCTTTTTGCTAAAGGCGTGCGAGATTTTCGTGGAGTGATATGCCCAACGGAATCACACGATCAATATCATGTCTACTAAAAACGAGGGTTGTAGCAATTTTGCGTTTTAGGTTCCTCAAATTCTACTTCAATACATACCTTGCACTGAAATTTGTACTTTTAGATTAAAATTTTGAGAACAGTGGGTCGCTGACATGTGTTTTGATTGGCTGTAGTTGCAGTCGTCAGCAGGTGAGGATTCCCCTATGGATCTTCTAGCAGGTCCGCGAGTAGCCAGTTATTAAGACTGGGAATCTTACTTCGGTTTCATAGATAGCTGTTAATGACTGTCTACAAACAAGCCATTGCTAACTTTGAGCGCAAAAACGTTGAATTTAAGTAGTACACCGCTTATAGCAGAGTCTTATTTTCACAGTTTGTCATTTTGCCTGAAAAGTTTGCATTTCAGCTGTCTTTTCAAGATCAACGCTGAAAATTGGAACGAACTAGGAAGAAGTGTATTAAGGTGAGTGAATGTTTTTTGATCATTTACGTTTTCATTGAAGTCAACGGAATGAATATCTTTGCTCTTGCTTTACCGAAATTGCTTTATCACAAGAAGCTTTTTCAATCATTCATAACTGTTGATTCCTATTTCTAAACATTAAAAAGTGCAATGCAAGAAAAACGTGTATTTCAAGAGTCAAGCTGCTTAGAAAATTGGAAATGATAGTTACACCTAGCATGATAATGCCTCAAAAACCGTCAGATGCAAAGTGTTGAAAGCGTTTGTCTGTGCATCAGTTATCAAAAGAGAATGATTAAAATTTGGTGTTTGGACAGAATGGTTCGAAGATGCGTCTTCAAGTTTTGCTCTAAAAGCGATCATCATGCATCTATCCATACGACACTGCGCACTATACAACATACCGATAAACAGAAGTCTTAAGACAGTCATTCTGTTTTTGAACAAATTAGGATTGTAAAAAGAAAATGAATTTAAATAATGGCAAGATATTCTCTTCTAAATGTTTGATAATTTGTCGTAGTACTCTCAGGGATGGTTTTCAAATTTGATATTTATCAGAAAGCTATATAATCTAGAATTTCTACCAAGAACTTTCAGCGGTATCAAAACGAGTATTTTTTTGCTGCGTTGATAACCCAATTGAAAGGTTGCTTGAAAGTATCAATTTTGATGTTCGTTCGAAAAATAAAGATATCATTCCAAAGATTGTTGGTACACAAACAAGCGTGAACATTGCCATGTATAAACATGCTAGAACGGCTTCTTATTCTATGAAAGCGTACCCAGCACCCATTGATTAGGGCATAAACATGGTTTCCAGCTGCGCCAAAAATTGTTGGAAGTCATCGGTGAAATATAAACCCTATTTGTGTTGGGAACATGCACTCAACAGTTCAGCAAATTACTGATGATGTAGGTAAGCTAATGACTTTAGTAATTAGTAGTGCAGTCGAGGAAGCATGATGAAAGTAGAACGTTGCTGCTCTATTGTTTGCTAAGAAAGTTCTAACGCTCGCTGAAATTGGACTGATTGTTGTGCGTTACGATCAGCTGCTAGTTTTGTTTCACAGTTTTAAGTCACAAGCTTCTCTAATAACAACGATAAGTGAAAACTGCAGGTTGAATGTCTGTTTTCAACATTTTGCTGGCAGCAATACGGTACGGTGCTAATAGTGGCCTGGTATGACATTGATAGCGACCCAGAATAGCGTTGGCATCGACTTAGCATAGCATTAACAGCAACCAGTTAGCTGCGACGTTGATTCATCGCTTGCTTGCTTCCTTCGACCAGAAGTCGGTTGATTGTAGATGAACCTCTCCGACTTTTAACTTTCATATGTTCCTTTTTACACAGCTGAACGCTTATCTGAATGTATTTTCTTTCAGGCTGGAAGTAAAGCTGTTAGCTGAATTGTCTTTTGCACAAAAAGCGCTGTGTTTTTGAGAACATCACGAAAAGGATTGACAGAATCAACATTTTGACTAACTGATAGGAGGCAACACAGGGTTTCTCGTTCAAAACGTCTTGTCGATGACATGGATAACTTCACTAATACATCCATTGACATTTTCAGAATGAATAAAACATTTGGGTCATCTTACCATCTTCTTCTGCTTGTTTTAGCTATTTTGATAATCATTGCTAACATCACAGTCTTATACTTATTTCTGAAGACACACGCACTGCAAGTTGGCATTACAAACAGACTTCTGGCGAACCTGGCTGTCAGTGACTTACTAACTGGCCTTGTCACCATTCCAATGACAGTGGCCTCTGCTACATTGAATGAATCACCAAATATTCACATTCTATACTTCATTTCTAATGTACTGAGTGATTTTGGTACAATTTATACCGTATCCAGTTTATGTCTAGTTATTTATGACCGGTACTTTTTGGTTTGCAAGCCGTTTGAACGCAAACGTCAGCGCACAAGATCCCCAACTGGCTGCCAAATTGTTCTGTTGTGGGTAAGCATATTTCTAATTGCCGCTTTGCCCTTTTCGTGGAGCTACGATTTGCTGCTTGATCCACGGGAACATACAAAGGAATATCAACTGACAGCGGAAAGAATTTACGTCGTATCAATAACGACATTTTTTTTCTTCCTTCCGTCTTGCTTTGTATTAATTGCACTGATTTTGATGCTTTTTGAAGTGAGAAACTTTTTCGCGGATGAAGCATGCAACACGCCGCAGCAAAGAACAAACCGAACCCAATTAGCTGTTGTTATCAAATTCACGATTGCTTTCATCACTTTTATGTTCTGTTGGGTTCCTTTGATGACCATCAGAATATTGGATTACTTCTTTAACACCATTTCAATGAAGCTAACAGCAGAAAGCCTTGAGGCAATATTTGCTATGAGATGTGCAACATCATTGATAAATCCACTTATCTACACCTGGAACGACCGTGACTACAAGAAAGAGATAAGCAAATGCTATATCTACAAAACTTTCATCAGATTTCTTGAAAAGAGAATGAAACTACAAAACCAGGATCAACGATGTATGGTTTGACATACTGGCAGAAAAAACAGAGGAAGATCACTACCCTTATTCCAAACATGTCAGCTTCTAATGGTATCGTTACGAAATCTCATAAATATCTAAACGCTGTCGAGATATCACGAAGGTCAAGGAAATGATAGTGATGGCGTTGCTTGTTTCGGGTCTCAGAAATTTCATCAGAATGAACAATCAAAATTTCTGAATATATTAAAATTCTAATTTGCATCAACCAACACATGGTACAATTCGACATTGTAAATTAAACAGATTTACCGCAAACAACAAATTATATAAATAATAAATGATGAACAGGACATAATGAGGAAATACGCTCATTTTACAATAATTATGATAAAAAAACGTTGCCTTTGTCAAAATAGTTTTTCTTGATTTGACATAAGAGGTATTGGACAGCGCCACCAATGTATTCCTGAGGTCTCTGTCTCGAAACAAAGGCTCAAGCGAATTGCTTGTTGTGACGCTTTACATCTTGCTGAATGATGGGATCAAGTTAGAAACAGCATGTTTGCTCTAAGCGTTTTCTAGCGGGGGACTTTCAGGGCAAATTCTCCTTCACTTTTCAATAAGATTTTAACTATTTTCAAGCAAAACTAAGTACAAATACCATTGTAGATGGCACGAAATATCGGAAACATAGCATAATGTAGACCAAGAACCCCAAAGGCTTCGAAAATGTCCAAATGTTTTGCACTCCAATTCTTTTTTTCATATGGCCACTATTTATAGTGTCTAGAATCCTCATAAAAAACTTTTGATGGTCAAAGCTCCTCTTAAATTGTAAAATATCTTTCATTTCTTATAAAGAATCCCCTTTGATACATTAGTTTTCTAACAATGACGCCCCTCCAATATGTCTACACACTGAGGGGTTTCTTGCACAACCATTGAAACTTACGAGCCTCGCCAAAAATAATGGTAGTACTCCCCAATAAACTTCAGTAAAAGTGCAAAATTCCTTCCCTACCCATTATTTAGAAGCAGAACAGTACTAATAAAAATTTGCATTACGTTCAATTCATATCACGCACAGAAAACATCGAACTATGCGTTAGAAAGTCAAAACAACATTACTAATTTCTACGATGCTTACTCAGTAATCTATCGTTTTATCCTTTAATAATGGAAGGGTTTAAAGAATCCTTCCACACGGATGGAACAGTGCTATGGCGTTTGGCACTGATAAATACAACGTCTGGCTTCATTTTGAAGCTTATTAGTCGAAAGTCGAGAAAAAAAACCTAAAAGCGATGCCTCTATGCCCAGTAGAAACTGTTTTAATGTTTTAATATAATCTATGCTCAAAGCCTGCATATCTTTTGCTAGGTCATGTTATGAAGGCGTCTCGTCTAAAGGGTTGAAATACAGCACTGTAGAGCTCTACATTGAGGCTTTTGACAGTTATGGTAAACTTATTCTTCTGTGTTCTTTGGACACTAAAAAAAGGAATGAAACATTGTTTCCCTGAGTAACTCCTTTTTCTACATAACTGGGAATTATTTATTTCATAAGTGAAAAGGATAAAAGAAATTAAATATCAATTCTTTTTAAACAAGAATGAAAAATATGTACATATAATACATATAACATATAATACTATATGTACAACGAGAAATTTTGACTATAAGATCTCAAGATTTATTGAGTCTTAGTATAAAGTCAAGTAGACTGGGCAATGATCTCGTTGTAACTTTACTAGCATGATATGATAAACATAACTCGCTTTAGCATTGGTCTCGAAAATGTAATTCTTCAGGTCAGATTTTTAGGTATAAAGGCTTTGATGTTTGCGTCTATTCAAACGCGTTACAAACTCTCATATCTTCGGTTACTATTCAACACTTTACATTGTTCAACGCTTTACACTGTTCAACCTGTTACCTGTTGTAGTTTACCTAAAGAGGTTTTTTAACTGTTACTAATAGTTACCACAATTTACTAGAGTTGATTGTAGTTGAAATGTAAATAATTTTTCGTTTCTTCATAAATGCAATATGCTATTTCGTTTTGTATTCATTGTCTATAATGTCTTATTCCTACTAATAAATTTATCATACAAAATCTTGTTGATGAGGCTCATCTTTTTAATATGTGCCACGTCAGGCTAAAACAGAAGTTTGAAGCTAGTTATGTTTCTAATGAAAAGATTATTAGTTTCGGAAAGTGTATTAATTGTCGGGAGCGCTCTTTTTTGAAGGCATGCCTGCTATGATAATAAAGCAAAGTTTAGTATTATTGCGCAAATGTCTTAAACCTTTTCTCGAAAAATTACTGTTAAGGCAAGATGAGGGCAGGTGACAAAACTTTAATTGAAAAATATTATAATTACCCGAATGAGATATTCCAGCTGCAGCTCAATTATATAATCGATACTAAAAACTATGGGAATTTGATACTGAAGCAAATGTTTTTTCCCTTCATTCTCAATTCACTGTATACTTTGGGATATGCTTTTTAAATTCTAATGAAGCATTAAGGGCTTGATTCGTGATTTATTTATTCCAAAATGTCGAATCTTTGACAATAGCAGATCAACTATACCTGTTGTCAAAATCAATGTGGACAAGAGAAAACAGAGATTAATGGTACATTTAAGACTGAAGTCTACCTCAAGAATTTCAAGTTTGTGGAAAAATTAATATGCAGTGTTGTTGCCGACTATACTGTTCATCAATCCATGAATCAATGCAGTTGATCAAAAGAGAGGCAAACAAAATTCCGTCTTTCTAAGACTTATCTCAGAACATCAGGATAAAACTCAATGAATGATGACAAATGTCAGTATGATCATTTTGGGTACATGCAAAAATAACGAGTTTTAAAAAAATTGAGATTCGAAAATTTAAGTGAGTTGCCGTAGTCGTTAATTCAGGGATTCGGTTGACTTTGTCGAATGATGACATCCCACTAACATCCTTCTTGAGCTTGGTTCACGCAGTCCACCAAAGGAACAATCACAAAATTCTTGACGTTATCTGTCCACCTTTATCTGGGTCTTCCTTTAGTGCGTTTACCATACTGTCTTCTCCAAAGATAAAAAGTTGCAACAGAAAATTAATGAAATGTGCCTCAAGTATTCAAACTGTGCCTTCTGCATCTAGTCTGTAGGTAGATGCTTTACTTCTGTCAGAACCAGTGGCGTAACGCACGGTTTGCACCTTTAAACACAAAACTAAGGGCCCCCAAACATTTAGGCCCTGAAGGGGCCCCCAAAAGATTGTTCGGAAGGCGGGTTTTTGGATAAAAACAAATGTTTCTTAATAGCATTCGCAGCAACATTAAACTGGGCGCATGATAGGATATGATTTGTGACCAAACACAATAATGATATAAGGTAATGCATATGCATGTCAATTAGGCTTCCCCACATAATACCCCCACAAAATGAAAGTTTTAACTCGCTTAATTCTCACGTCAGAAAAGAAAAAGGAAGGAGATGTTGCAAAAGGCCTTCAAGAAAAGATGGATAGTTTCGAATTTGTTCTGTTTATAGTCATGTGGGAAAGAATACTGCGTGCTATAAATTATACATCAAACGAATTTCAGTTGCCTAAGTTGAACTTTCAGTTGCGTCTAGGCTTCTAAACTGCTCAATTTCAGACATAGAGCTACTTCGGAACTCTTCGGAGTCAGTGAGGATGACAGTTTCTGCTCTTGCCAGTTCTTGGTGCTCATCTCTTGAATTTACCCAGAAGAGAGAGAGCAAAGTCAAGTATTTCTTTGATGAACTATCTTGAAATAATGCGTTAAGTGATCCAGAAAAATGGTTTAAGGTCAAGGCTTTCTACAAAACAGTCGATACAGCTCTTATGCAGCTTCGATTGCGATTTAATGGGCAAAGTTTGGTCATGGTTGATTTGGGGTAAAGAAACTCAGGTTGTATGTATGAGTTGTCTGATCAGATTTTCATCACAAAAGCTGTAATTGCAGCATATCCAGGTGATTTTACAAGAAATTTGGAAACCGAATGGCGGTTACTTGCAAAGGAGTCCAAGAAAGATATTGCAGACAAAGAGTCAGTTCTTGAAATTGTAAATTTGATGCTGGAAAGCAGAGTGAGTTCATCCTTTTCAGACGTGTACAAATTTCAAACTCTGTTTGTAACAATTCCAGTTACGGGTTGCCACAGCTGAAAGATCATTTTCAAAACTTAAATTGATTAAAATGTACTTAAGGTCAAAGATAACTCAAGAAAGATTCGATAACTTGGCAATACTGTCCATAGAAAATTCAGAAGCGAAATCAATTGATAAAACTGAACTCACTGAGCGATTCGCACATGTTAATGCTCAAAGGCATAAAATAATTGGCATATAGAACTTGAAATTTCTTTTTTCTTATAACATTTCAAATAAAATCATATTCATGACGTTTTTTAAGCACTTGTGAACAAACTTTCGCATAATTTTACGGAAATTGCATTGATAACGTTTCTTCATCTAGGTCTTATAATATTCTTCATTATTCATAAGGACCACATAAGGACAGAAAGTTTATAGATATGTTGGAAATTGCTGCAGAAAAGTAGTCAAGTCACTCAAATATTGACTGTATCTATCAAAGTCTAATGCCCATTCACTTTGGCGAGTTAAACCAGCTTAAAATAAGTCAGATTATTGAGTGGGGCCTTCTAATTGGTCTATCCAACAAATCGGACGCGTTTGATTGGTTGAAATAAAACCTAGTATAAATGTAGCTGGTTTAACTGTGCCAGTGTGAAGGCAGCATAAGCAAACATTTCATATTCACACCAGCGCAGATTTCTTTAATATTTTGTTTCACATTCAAGGTATTACGGAAGGAGAGGAGTTATTATTTCTTTTCATGTGCCACCATTAGAGAGCATAGAAATATATATGGCAGCAGAATCTCTCTTCGTATATTGTTCAATGTTATCAAAACGGGGTTTTTCGGGAAAACCCCAAAGAGTGAATGATTAGGCTTTAAAATTTGACTCAACCTTAGTTAAGTATGGGGGCCCTAAAACACGACTTTCACTAAGGGCCCCACACTGCTCAGTTACGCCACTGGTCAGAACACTGTCATTTGAGAACACGCTATGCCATAAACCATGCTCCAAACATAGGTGTTTTCTTTCATTTTTGAAGCAAATTAAATGTCGAGTGCCCCGGACGAAAAAGTATTGTAAGCCACTAAAATATTGAGTCGAACACCTTATAGGCGTAGGAGATTCAAACATGACAACAAAATGACAGCTTATGAAGAGTAAACTTTTAATTAAAAACAAACAAAAAATTAGAACTACCACTTGGTTACAGTCTCAAACCCAGATGGGGTTTTGTAGGTGCCCGCTGAACGCTGAATTTTGGAAGGAGGCTATTTATATGTTGACAAGTAACTCATCAGCCAGAAATGAGCTTTCGGGGTGTTAATTCGGTGTGCCTGTTTCTTATGGGCGCTAACGCAATGCCATAAACCTTTTGCTCTGATGAAACAACGACAAACCTTTGGCTCTGATGAAGCCCCGTATGCCGGGGCGAAATATTAGACATCACTGATTTGTGTGTTTGTTGTTGTTTATTCTCGTCGCGTTGCGGTGTTCCTTATTTACTACTCTTTACAAAGCTTCTTGATCTTTTACATGTTTTTGTTTTATAATTAAACCGTATTCAATTTCTTGTGTTTTTTTGAGGGGGGAGGGCTAAATTGGGAGGGGGGCTAATTGGTAATTAAATTTTTTCTTCTGAAAAGAGGGGCTAACAAGAGAGGGAGGGGCTTAATTGAGAGGGGGGCTTAAAAGTTAAGTTACCGTATTTGCAAGAATTTTCTCGAATAATCTTACGTTTTGCAATAGTTATGTTTTACTTAATTTTTGGGGCTCACTCCAAAATACTGGCTGCTCTGTTTGATTTGACTTTGGGAATCAACAAACACGAAAACTGCTAGCCCTTCCACCATTCTTGATCATATCTATAAAACTGGACGCGTAGCCTCTGTTGAAAATTTTTCTATTCTCCCAAAAACAAATAACTCCTTTGACTTACTAATTCACGAAAGCCTTCTCATACGCAGGGACAGACCTCCACTTAATTCCCAACAATCAGCTATTTCCATGATTTTGTTCTGATTTTAATTTCCCACCTTAACTTCCTTTGTTATTCCTAAGTTCCTTGTTAATCTCTCTTTAGGTTGTTCATCATTTCTTTGTGTCTTCCTTTGCGTCCTGGCTGCTCTTTCAGCGTGCTGTTAGATCACATGATTCACGATCCTCTTTGTTTAGCTCTTCCCTGCTTAAAGTTTGTTCGCCTTTATTTATTATACCGAAGATGACTCTAGTTAGGGTCGAAACGTTAATCTATTTCTTTAACTAGATTTGTCACTATTGAACAGGAATGTCCTAATAAGCATCTTTGAATGTAAATTCAGATTGCGTTGTCTATTCTGACTTGACAGTGACAGAGAACATGTCTCATTTCTAGCTTATCTTCTATCATATTGAATGTAAATTCGTGGCTTTCTTAACTGTAATGTAAATTAATGGATTGTCAACGTTCTGATTTTACTGATTTTGTCAAATATTGGACAGTCGATGGATTCAAGTCAATAGAGGAAAACTACTATTGCAAAATCTGTTTTATTGCCGTCTTTGTTATTAGTCTGAGTTTGATTTCCCGGTAAGAAAAGACCATCCCAATCCGTTTAAGCAGGATACAGAAGAGAGAAAGCAACGCAAAAGATCCAACCTTTCCCAGCCAAATCATTATTAATTGATTTCATAAGTATTAAATTGCTGCAATAAGTTGTCAAAATGTGAATGAAATAGCAAAATTTAATTAAGTTTTCTTGAAAACTACAATATTGCTTTGCACACAAAGACAATAGCCTAGCAGTTCGAAGTTACAAAAGATTTGACGGAAACAACCTTTCAATATCTTCGTTAGCTAAATTGGTGTATTTTTTGCTATTTTACCAACCAATGGTTTCCACCGACTATTTGCCAAGAATATGGTGTGATGTTCCTAAATTCCCCCCTCTGCGGGAACACTAGCCCTTTAAACCGTAATGTGTATTGACAGGCCCTATTTACAGCAGGTGGTTCCAGCAAGGGTCCGTTTCTGCATGCGTATAGCAGCAGGTCACGTGCAATCGGAACATTTCTCAGTGAAGAAATGTCAACTTAAAGCACGTAATAGCCTAGAAAGTGTAATGGGACAAGGTAATCAACAGCATAAAAATTTGCAATTCAGCTGCAAAACTGCGCATACATCAAGTAAGGTTATTGCGCTATCGGCAAGAGGTGTTGCAAGGAATGAAGCACTTTGTTAATCGTGTCAAATATGATCGAGCGTGATGCTAGAAATGAAGGCCAAAACCGGTGTTTTTGACAGAAATTTGATGCCCAAAATGGACAAAATGCGATAAAAAGTGAAAAACAGGAAGAAAATCAAAGAATGCAAATAACGGCAATTGCTGTGGGAAAAAAAATCAGCAAATTTCTTATCAACTAGAGACGATTTACGCAGAATATCTTATTTTACAAAATATATTAAACAAGATGTAAAAAGCAGCTTAGCTGTATCTTTAGTCGACTAAGCTAATAACTGGTTTGAAACTGGTAATAATTTGAATGAAAGAGGTGATAGCTGGTGTATTTCAAAACTCTTTTGCTTAGGGATCGGATTCTATGTACTATTTTTTTACTGTTTTATCTTAAATCAGACAGATTTCAATGCTATATCATGGTCTTTGGAATGATAATGAAAAAAATGGACAGGGATTGTGTCGATATGGAGAAAAACAGACATCAACACATCAGATCAAGTGCACTCTCCATAGGCCTATTTCAAACTTTGAAAATACAAATAAATCTGATTACATCTACAATTATTAAGATTCTTCAATACAAAACAATTTATTTAAGCTTGAAATAGTCTCAAGAATGGCAATGATATGAAAAAGGAGAATAGATCTGCAATAGCCGACAACAGCACGGGCACAATTTGAATAAGACCGGCCAGGTCTACCTTTTATATGACAACTGCGACTTATACATTTGAATCTTCTCGGTCAGTTCTCTATTTCCGGAACATTTGTATTGGATGGAATTCAGGTCATCTATACTCTTTGTTTGAAAGGCTGTTTCAGCTGCCTGATCCATATAACTAAGCGAAAAGCAAAGTGAATTAGAAATTAAATGAACCGAATCTAATTGAAAGTAGAAGCCGAAGTAAGCAATGGCTGAAACAGGTTTCTGTATGAACACCGCATACAAACAAAATAAAATTTAAAAGCAGCTTCTGAGATGAACAAACCGTAAAATACTCTTGTAGATCGGTTTCTGGTAAATCGTATGACAGAACAATATTCACTCGATTTGCAACGGTTATCAAAGCAAAAACAATTTGATAATATAACAAAACAGAGCCAAGTAGGCAAGAAATATCAATAAACTTTAAAGATATTGGAAGAGATGCAAATCGTTTCATCAATATGGCTATTTAATTTCACTTCATCATTGCAAGTAATTAGAAAGCTCTTATTAGAAAGCCCTACAGCTGCGTTTACGCGGGGCCGGTCAAATATTTGGCCGGTTGATCAATATATCCGGCTTTGACCCGCTGATGGATATAAATAGTTTTTCCGCTTACCTTAAGTCCTTATCCGACGTTTATACCCTATGGAGCGTTAGATGAATAGGGTATAACTTAAATTTAGCTATAAATCAGGTCACAGACTCGGTCACTCGGAACAAAAATTTCCAATTCTCCTATAACTTTGTTCAATCCTTCCATTTCAGCAGAAAGGTAAAAGCGAAAAAGTTAAATAGAACGGTAGGAAATTTCAAATTTTATCTGCATACAATCAACATTCAATATGCGAATTCGCTCGGCTTTTGTAGGGCATAGATATTCAGAAAGATGCATTTCATGTAAATCTTCCATTTACCCCATTTTCATGTAAATCTTCACTCTCTTGTCAATTGGCACTTTCTGGATATACTTTGCAGCTTCATTCAATGCTGGACCGTTGGAAAGACACACGTCAACAAACGGCTAAAAGAAAAAATGAAATTGATTTATAGGATAGGAAAAACCCTTTATCAAAAAACAGTGAAGAATATGTGAAAGATTCTTTACAGAATATTCAAGCAACTAAATAAACTGGCAACCTTTTTGAAAAAAAACCAACAGTTCTGCGTGTGCTGCAATCAAGATAGGAATGTTTAATTGTATTTTTATTAGAAGAAGAAAGCACATAACTAATGGATACTAACCGAAGTAGCAAAAACTGATTGAAAATATCGTTGAAATAAATGTGAACTATTCTATAGATGTAGGTACAAAACTGTGCGTGAAGTAAAGTTCGCCAAATCGCCAGTGAAAGGAGATTTTCTTCTAATATAAAGCATAAAGAATACATGAGTACCTCGTAGCCAATTGGTGACTTTTTACTCTTCGAGAACTTTTCTAATTCTTGCCAGTTTCGAACTTCTCCAAGAGCTTGGATCTTCTTCCACCAGAATCTTTCAAAGCAAGAGATATCTCAAAGATAATTTGCTTTATAGCAAAGAATAACTAAATTTAATTAAATTTGTTAGACTATGAATGCTAGAAAAAAATGACGAACAAAAACATCTGCACTTTTCTTGGCTTGGTATACACCCTTTTCAAATAATACGCTGAAAACCTTTTTCGCCTTAACAAGAACGATAATTCAATAAACGGCCAGGTCATTCTATCCAGCAACGGCCTGGAAATTGGTTTATCATAAGTAAAAATCGAATAAAACTGAGCTGACAATTGTAACACAAATGAATTGAAATAAATGGTCTTGTTGTGAACAAATCTTGTAAAAAACAATTCAATAAAAAAGGAGACGAGTAAGAGACTTGAAAGAATGTCTAGTTTAGTGATGTTTAAAAATACTTAAGTCAGTATCTTTTAAAAACACGGTGTTTTTGGTAATGTTCAAAAAACCAAAAGTTGCTTCTTGTTTTTCATATTTTGCAAAAAAATTTATTGATAGGTCATACTTGAAGCATTTGATCAACAACAAATTAAAAAAATAAAAAGGAAAACCAATTCAATTTGATAAATTGCATAAAACATAATTTCAAAACCTGGTATCAGGAATATTGAAATCTTTTCGCATTGTTTCAGCGTGCTTTTGATGTCCACAACAAATTAGCTAAAATGAAATATTAAAAGGTCGGGCTAAATGACTTTTGACAGAGATTTTTCAATGCAAGCAGTAACAAAAGAGCTGTGATGCAAAGCAACTATCAAACAATGGGTCCTGCTTAGTTCTGCCTCACTGGTTGTTGTAGAAGATAAATTAATGTTTCTTCAATTGGCATTGAAAAAAGCAAACAGAGTCACACTAAGCATTTTTTAAAAGCCATTTTCAGGTTTTGTACCGCAAAAATATTGTTAACTTTTAAAATGCTTTTACAACAAATTGTATTTATATGAATGAGGTCGCATATTCTGTTTAGTAAATGTATAAATGTCGTGAAGGGGGGAGGAGAGGGGGGAGGAGAGGGGGGAGAGGAGAGGGGGGAGAGGGGGGGGGTAGCTAAACTGAATAGACATGTTATAGCGACCAATACACTGGTGCTTCAAAAGTATTGTACCACCTCGAAGAAGAAGAAGCGAAGGAAGCATGAATGACTGAGAGCGATTGTTATGCATATTTTGAGTGTTTTCAAGCGGTAAATGGAAATTAGTAGGAAGTAAGACAACCACCAATCAAAACTTCAATCTTTTTAGAACATTTTTGTAAAAGTTACATTGACGATATCTTCAACATTTTCAATGTTTCAATATTTTATTGAAATGTTGCAATTTTTCCTGTAAGCTTATTCGTATTTGGCAAGTTAATTCTACATTCTTCATCAAATAATTCCAATAGCCAAGGCACCAGAGGAGATCAATTGTCCGAGTGCGGTTAACATACCTTGTGCAACGTGTCGTACATGCACAGACTGAGGTATTTCTCCCCAAATTCATCCCCAAGCCTCTTTTGGAATTCCAAAAGTTTTATCTGTTCTGTAGTCACCTGATTAAGCATAAAAAAGTCACATGTAGCACACCACACAAGCAAAAACAAGTTACATAAGCTATCTATACTGAAATCAGAAAAAGTTTCAATTCACCTGGTCGAAAAGAAGAGCAAACTAAACAATGAAAGGACAGGTGAACCAGGGAAAAAACAATGCTTGCAGCTCTCTCACACTTTCGCACTAATTACCCTGTCAAATTGCTTTTCTTTCCTCAACTACCTAAGCAAACCGAAGCAGGTACTTTCTACAACCGTCAATTGCATAGCTTTATAGCATAGTGTTTCAAAAAAGCAAAGATGCAATGTTAACCATTCAAACAATAAGTTTATACATCAAATGGCTGAAAAACAATGTCAGTGTTATTTCATCGAGCACGCTTGCATCAATCAAGCTGACAGTGTAAAAGTAAACAGAAATTGCTCCGTTTCTGTAAATGATTTCTCCGTTTCCAGAAAAAGATTTAGACGAGGCGTATAGAATACAGTATTTTCTTTATTTGAAATGTTAAGACGGATGCTCAAACTAAAATGATTCAACTGTATGATAAAAAACTGATAATTTATTTTCAGAGTAAATATCAATTGTAGGCACTTTCCAAAACAGGTGCCTTGCAAAGATGGCTAAAGGCATAAAAATGCGTTAGCTAAAGGCATCGATAAAGGAATAAAAATGCGCTAGCTGAAGGCATCGATAAAGGCATAAAAATGCGCTAGCTGAAGGCATCGATAAAGGCATAAAAATACGCTAGCTGAAGGGATTGATAAAGGCATAAAAATGCGCTAGCTGAAGGCATCGATAAAGGCATAAAAATGCGCTAGCTGAAGGCATCGATAAAGTCATAAAAATGCGCTAGCTGAAGGCATCGATAAAGGCATAAAAATACGCTAGCTGAAGGCATCGATAAAGGCATAAAAATACGCTAGCTGAAGGCATCGATAAAGGCATAAAAATGCGCTAGCTGAAGGCATCGATAAAGTCATAAAAATGCGCTAGCTGAAGGCATCGATAAAGGCATAAAAATACGCTAGCTGAAGGCATCGATAAAGGCATAAAAATGCGCTAGCTGAAGGCATCGATAAAGGAATAAAAATGCGCTAGCTAAAGGCATCGGTAAAGGCATAAAAATACGCTAGCTGAAGGCATCGATAAAGGCATAAAAATGCGCTAGCTAAAGGCATCGATAAAGGCATAAAAATGCGCTAGCTAAAGGCATCGATAAAGGCATAAAAATGCGCTAGCTAAAGGCATCGATAAAGGCATAAAAATACGCTAGCTGAAGGCATCGATAAAGGCATAAAAATACGCTAGCTGAAGGCATCGATAAAGGCATAAAAATGCGCTAGCTGAAGGCATCGATAAAGGCATAAAAATGCGCTAGCTAAAGGCATCGATAAAGGCATAAAAATGCGCTAGCTGAAGGCATCGATAAAGGCATAAAAATGCGCTAGCTGAAGGCATCGATAAAGGCATAAAAATGCGCTAGCTGAAGGCATCGATAAAGGCATAAAAATGCGCTAGCTGAAATCATCGATAAAAGCATAAAAATGCGCTCGCTGAAGGCATCGATAAAAGCATAAAAATGCGCTAGCTAAAGGCATCGATAAAGGCATAAAAATGCGCTAGCTGAAGGCATCGATAAAGGCATAAAAATGCGCTCGCTGAAGGCATCGATAAAAGCATAAAAATGCGCTAGCTAAAGGCATCGATAAAGGCATAAAAATGCGCTAGCTGAAGGCATCGATAAAGGCATAAAAATGCGCTCGCTGAAGGCATCGATAAAAGCATAAAAATGCGCTAGCTAAAGGCATCGATAAAAGCATAAAAATGCGCTAGCTGAAGGCATCGATAAAGGCATAAAAATGCGCTAGCTGAAGGCATCGATAAAAGCATAAAAATGCGCTAGCTAAAGGCATCGATAAAGGCATAAAAATGCACTCGCTGAAGGCATCGATAAAAGCATAAAAATGCGCTAGCTAAAGGCATCGATAAAAGCATAAAAATGCGCTAGCTGAAGGCATCGATAAAGGCATAAAAATGCGCTAGCTGAAGGCATCGATAAAGGCATAAAAATGCGCTAGCTGAAGGCGTCGATAAAGGCATAAAAATACGCTAGCTGAAGGCATCGATAAAGGCATAAAAATACGCTAGCTGAAGGCATCGATAAAGGCATAAAAATGCGCTAGCTGAAGGCATCGATAAAGTCATAAAAATGCGCTAGCTGAAGGCATCGATAAAGGCATAAAAATGCGCTAGCTGAAGGCACCGATAAAGGCTTAAAAATGCGCTAGCTGAAGGCATCGATAAAGGCATAAAAATGCGCTAGCTGAAAGCATCGATAAAGCCATAAAAATGCGCTAGCTAAAGGCATCGATAAAGGCATAAAAATGCGTTAAATGATCTTGCACAGATAAAGATACCAAAAGACAATTAAATAAGGGTATTTAATAAGGAAAGAAAGGAATTCTTGTGCTGTTAAGGAGGGTGTCATCATGAGAGGAGTATTGCACAAAAACTAATCGATAATACAAGAGAGATGCTCATTCTTCAACAAAAGGAACCCCATGGCATTGTTTGATGCGCATGGAATACCAGCCATTAGCAAAGATGCATCATTGAACGCACCTGAACACCAAAAGGGAAAACCTGCTGTCCTCTGTTATCAAATGACTCTCTAGCAATTCCAAGTTGCTTTATTCTCGAACCCAACGTGGTTTCAGAAAAACTGTCTTGAACATACATATTGCCGCTGTTTCTGAACTGGTCTTCTTGTAAGTAGAGATTCACAAGTGTCTCGCGCTCAACCTGCTTGCATCTCTGCAAAATTGAAGTACCAACACCGTGATATAATTCTATATAACCATTATAACAAAACAGGTAAAAAAGCAAAGAACAAATATAAAATACAGTCAATAATAATCTAAAGCCTAGAATTTAAACGTTTTTATAGATGTGATATTAATGCCGCTAGCTTCAATGTACGACTAAGCGGTACACGACTAATGCTGACCTTGATAAACAGACTGAAAGCCAATGGGTAGTTCCTTATTTTCATTAGGAAATCGCCATGTTTGTCGCCTGCTCTAATGTGCTCCATTGCTAGGTACACTAAAACGGAGAAATATATAATTCAAAGAGAAACCCATAGTAAAAACGCTTGCTACACGGATTTTAGATATGGAAAAATAACTTTTTGAATCATTAGCACGAGGTATGAGTAGACCTATATTCTATCTTCCTCGATGTGTGAATGACGCTGTCTTTCTCTAACAAAATGGGCAAATACAACTAACAAGCAAGCACTAGAAAACCTTGTTAAGCAAGTATTCATTGATACAATATCGAAAAATATCACCAATAGTTCATTGACATGTAAAATGACATGCTTTTAGGACGGCAATTGTCATGGAAAGCTCATGGATCAGAATGGTAACAAGCAAAAGCAGGTTTCAAGTTCACAACTGAGCACAAAGAACGAGAGGCAGAGTGCACAGGATTCTGTCACCGCGGTAAGCTGGGACAAAGGATAGTCTAGGACAAAGATCCTTAAAAGACAAGGTATCTGTTATTAACAGACTGTTAAATGCTGCATATGACAAAATTCAAAGAACATGCAAAAAGAATGAAAGCACTTTACGGCTACAAAAGAGTGACTTGCCATAGAAGGTTCAAGCAGGTAATATAAAGGACATATGTTTAATTAAAAAAGGCAGAAAGATCTTAATTGTACCGCAGAATAATGCTCTTAGCTCCTATTGCTTTTACTCGAAGAAAATAGCACAGTTTATTATATTCAATTGGCTCCCAATGCAGTTCTTCCCAAGAAATTGATCGAAAAATTGCATGACAGAGAACAAACCGACATTATTATTAACTTTCGTTTACCGCATGATCAAGACAGCAGACTAAATAACAAAACACCAAAGTTGAGCTAAATTTGATCAGACTGTGCTTTCCGAGACTTAAAAATAGTGTTTCAGTCATTTAATTTCCGGCAGGGAATTTTCCTCAACAATCTGAACTTCAACCTAACTTTGAATCTTATTTCACAATAATCGCAATTCGACCATGCTGATTCCGAATCCGAGATGGGTCTTTTGAATTTTCGACCGGAAGTGTGGTTTTTTGATGACGTCACAGAGCGATTTGGAATCAGCATGGAAATAAAATTCAAAGTTAGGTTGAAGTTCAGATCGTTGAGGAAAATTCCCTGCCTATTTATGGTCATGCTAGACTTAAATATTCCTACCCTGCGTTGCTGTATGAAACATTTTTGTTTCACTTAAGAATAGGGCTTTTTGGAGAACAAGACAAACTCAACTTTCAAAATTGCTTCAAAATTCTAAGAACTGTCATGTCCTACGTAGAAAAGCATGTACAGATCTTTCAAAGGGGGGAGAAACGGCGACCTTCATTTTACTAAAGAATTCAAATCAGTAAGGAGACTTGCTTTGGAAAAACGGGGGTTTCATAGTAGAAAATAGTTGTCTGGAGCAAACGTACTAAAAAAAGTAGAGATATAAAATGAACTAGCCTTGTTCGGAATCGTAACTGTCGACAGCCTTCTGCAGTGCCATGTCATAATTCGCCATTCGGAGAAGAAGGGGTACCTGGTTCGACGCCTTTGGTTCATATTCTAACAGCTAGAGAAATAATATTCAAAACAGGTTGTTGACTTAGAAAATTGGCAAAAAATTCAGAAGAATCAAAAGGAAAGCCTTTTCAACAACCATGTTGCACAGGAAGAGAATCTTGTTGAGCATTTAATTCCCGTTTAGTTGAACTTACAACTTATAAGATTGAACTGAAGTTTAGCTGCATTAGTTAACATCAATGGTTTGGGCGAATCAATTGAAGAAAGAAAACATCAAACGGAAGGCTTTGTGCCAACTTGTTTAATTCTTTCCTTCCTTGATTACTGTAGCAATAGGTTACCCAGCAACTCCGCTAGGCAATTTGAAGAAATAGCGAAAGTTTTAAAACTGAAAAACATATTTTTGAACAATGGTGGGAAAATTATCACACGATGCTGTGATGAAGCAGTTGACGAACTTCGAGTTCTTAAGTAGCGGTATTTTGCTGGACAGTGCAAACCTTGTTTTCAAGATTTCCTAGTCAAAATTCAAGCATTTGTATCTTTGCAAAAAACTTTGCATTGTGCTCATAAGTACGATTTTCTTGAAAATAAGAACAAGCCTCACAGGGTTGTCTCAACCGACAGCACGGAATGTTAAACTTGCTAAGAGGGATAAATTCTTAGGGCATGACGAAGACAAGAGAAAGCAAACTCAGGAAAATGTTAGTCATCCAATATTAGGAGTCTGCATACTGGGTTGCAGAGAAAGAAGTGAATCTGAAGAAGTCAGCGAAACAGATGTATAGTTAAACATAAGATGTTTCACACATATCTTTTCCTGATCGTGAGAAACATGGTTCATCTGATTCTTCAAGGCTTTCTCCTATGCCTGACCAACAACTGCCGTCATTATTAATGCAAGAAGCCTGCTGCTAGTGATTTTTAGAACTATGGGTAAGCTATTACCTAGATGGGTTTATCGTTTAATAGATGGGAGCAGGGATGGAACACTAAATTGAAACATCTGTTATTGAAACTGATAATTTGCGGTAGTTACACAGCTGAAAGGAACTATAAAATGATCTAAAACTATTTGCATGCTATTGAAAATATCTATCTTATTCCATTTCTTCTTTTTATTATTCTCAGGCTCTGGCACACAGGGTAGTACTGTTACAATTGCAGATATATGCTTAGATGCTATCTAAAAACGTGCTGCCGCGACCTGAGAAAGTTCCAACATAAACAAACTGCAGATGGATAAAGTATCAAAACACGCCATCCTCATTTTTAGTTCTGGCGACAAGTTTGTCGAAGACATAACGTCAGTATCAAAAAACGTTTTGGAGTAGCATCAATATTTGAGAAGCATTCAACGCAAACTCTTGCAAAAGCCCTTGTAAAAGGTAATCGACAGATATGAAAGTGGCTCAAGTCATCTGTCAATCAAACGATTGGTCAACCAATAAGCTGAGTGGTATCACGCTTTTGATTGGCCAGTTGCTGACGGGTGAATGATTAAATGAACTTAAGCCACTTTGGTATCTACCGACCGCCTTTTAGCTTGGGCACGGAAATCATGATCTCAATCCAAAGACCACTGTCACATATCAAGATAATGAGTATTCCAATTACTTTTTAGGATTTGGAAAAAGTCCACACAGGTAGCCTAATACACAGGATTTGAAGGTTTTCAAGACATCAGATACATGCTTCGAGACATAGGGGCTAGGCCATTGTACTACGTCATTGGTGTACAAACATAAAATACTTTTCTTATTGGTTGCTGTTGCATGTCAAAACTGTTTGACAATTTCTGTCATACATTTTGTTGCTGTTAGTTCTCCTGTGTTACATTGTGGACGCACGAGGATTTCTTTCCAAGAGGACTTCGCCTTATTTGAATTGAATGTCCAACGAAACCTTGCAAAACTAGGAAACAATGTCAAAAGAGCGACATATCATACAAAATGTTTAACAATCGCCCAACATCAGTGTGGCTAATTCTTGATCGGTTATGCTGTGGCAAATTCTTAAAAGCCAAAGCCATATGACAATATATGATAGTTTGGTCATACATGTAATGACCTGTCAACGTAAATAGCTCGAATCTATGAAAGGAACGTCGGTAGGGATAGAGCAGTACGGGCGAAACGAAATTAAATGAACTGTCTCCATTGGGAATACGTTTAATTAATTATAGTTTATTATCGCCATTTCTCATTAATTATTCACTATAGGAAGTACAGGGAACCTTGGGTCATTGCAAATAAAATTATGTGGGGCTTTGAAAGGAATGAGCTTGAAACTAGAACATATGTTTCTTTCTACACAGTCTCCTACCAACACATTACACGGGGATATCATATTTAAATCAATGAGCTGTAAAGAAAATTCTGAGAGTTCCTATTTCAAAAAGTATTTTTTCATTCAAAGAAACTTTTTACGTAACCAAAACCTGGTTCCATTGTTCAAAATACATGCATCGCTGTATTCACTTTATGATCTAAAGAATTCCATACATATAAAAATGAGTACTTCAACAAAACAAAAAATTCTAGATTGCATGACCATTAAATTTTACCTGACAGTATTTTGGAATCTGCTTTTGTCAAAACAAAAAGAAAGAAAAATGTATCTAGGGACAATATTCGGTTTTCTCACTCGAAATCCTCCTTATTGTGAGGTGAAAACAACAGTGGCGGACTGGCTCAGAATTTTTAACCGAACACAAATAACTGGATGGGCCCAGGAGGGTGTAGTCTGAAAATTAGGGCGTGGTCAAGTGAGCATTTCATCATAATCGATCAATTTCTAAGCAACATAACATATGTAGCGATAATAGCAAAGTTGATTACAATGAGCGCTGAGTACACTAATTGAGAAAGCAAATTATGATATTTTGTGTGATCATCCACTAAATTGGTTTGCTGTCTGTATTTTAGAATTAATACGTGCTTACAAACTATATTTTTCACAAAACTTTTAGATTTATAATTTCGAAGACCGTTTCAATCAAATGCTACCAGAAGTTGCATTTCTTTAATTTACTTTCCAAGAAACCAGTAATCAGTCCTGTCCCTTTTTTGCATCAACTTTGCCTTCCTTTCTGAAAACCACTTGTGATTCGAAGTTTATTCGTCCATTGTGTGCAATTTGGCTGACTCTTGCCATTTTATTGAAATCTTTTTTATGTAAATTTTTCATTTCATGAGACAATACCTTACCCGTTCGTATTTATACTAAAAAGTCCAGCGCAAGCAAAAAACTAGATTATTCTGTAAACGAATCTTTAAGACGATGCAGCAACCCCCATTGAAGTATCATTCGCATCGCATTATCTTAATGCTATGGCTTGAGTAAAAGAGAAAGTTAACGCAAAGTTTGTTACTGAATCACTCCTTACTTTTTGCTAACTGGCAAAGATTTAAGTGAACTCTACAATTAATGTCGGGCAGATTAACTGAACCTGGGTCTATGAAAAATAAAAAATTTCAGAAAATTCCATCATATTAAAAATTCCAAATTTCTATTAACCTCTCATAATCTAAAAAAGTCATTTTTTTAGCTTCGACCCAATCCATTTTATAACCACATGCTATGACATTTATTCAACCTCAGTTTTGATGTAATCCATGATATTTATCATTTGTAATGGGACATCTTAAGGCCCCACATTCCTAAAAATGGTTCCCTTTTTCTGCAAAGATGGGGCCCTTTTTACCAGATTTTGCCACAGGCCGATGGGCCAGTCCGCCACTGGAAAACAACGATGCTTACAATATTTAAACCCATATCTCATTATAAACTCACATTAACATTTGCTTAATTTTACGACTTTTCATTTTCTGCAAAGTGTCAGAGGAAAAATTCATACTAAGTTCGTATCATTCAAGGATAAAATTCCTTTATTATCCTTTTAACAAATCTCATTGTATTACTAAAAGCATTGGCACTACAAACTAAGGTTTATAGCATCAAGTGGTGCTTATTTTCTAGTCAACTGAATTTTGCAACTGGTTCAGACATGCCAAATTTTGTTTGGAAATTTCTATCCAAAATAATTTTTTTCCCTAGTTCTAATGCTTTTTCGCCTACGAAGAGGTGATCCTGGAAGTTTTAAAAATCTGTATGCAAATTATAAGAAATTCTTATGACTGTGGGAAAGTAGCTTTTAAAATTCCGGGTAATATAAGAAACACAATAGAAGAGCCAGAAATGCGAGTTGGTATGTGCTGCTGATGTATCAAGTACTTTGACCAAATCCTCAGGACATTTTTCCTTAGGACAAAGCGATTACAGACAAATGAAAAAAAAACATAAAACTGCGGGGTTCTTACGTGGATCATATGCCTACACTGCTATATTGAATCACAACCAGTGAAGCAAAGAAACATTATGCAACATTGATCCGTAAAAAGATTCAACAAAATGGCTCAGAAATGTACAATGTACTCTTCCTTCCACGACAGAAGAAGCTATTTGCATGTCGCGCCAAGATGAACTTTTTGAATGTCCCCACTTAATATGACTGTAAAATTTCGACGACAGACAACCGACACAGCAGTCAATATTATCCCAAACGACCTTGTGTTTAGCTACGTTGGAAGTGATGAACCAAAGAGCGTTCAGTCAATTGTGAAATATTCTAAGAAATGATGGTTTGGTCTAAATGTTGGCTTGAGTGTTTAAAACCCTGTTTACACGGGAAAATGGGATCGATCTCAAACTGGATCGATTCCAAACTGGAACGCTCTCCAAAGCGAATAAAAATTAGTACGGATGGGGATCGATCCTGAGCGACCCCGTGTGGGGTCGATCCCGGTCTGGTTCAGAAATTTCTATCCAAAATAATTTCAGGGAATTTCTTTCCCAGGTTCTAATGCTTTTTCGCTTCCGAAGAAGTGATCGTGGGAGTTTTAAAAAGCAAATTATGAGAATTTTTATATGACTGTTGGTAAGCAATGATTTAAAAAGTCCGGGTGAAATAAGAATCACAGTGGAATAGTGAGCCAGAAGCGAGATGAGGTAAACGGGGTCTAAATGGGATATCTGTCGAGCCCCCCTATTATACAAAAGATCCTAATACAACAAAGGGTGGGAGCACACAAAAATATTTAATAAAATACCTTGACAGCCAAGGCCGTTCTTCCTTGTTCTAAAGCATTTGAGGCAATCTCTGTGTAGGAAATACCAGGAGTGTCGCCCAGTTTCGCAGCTATTTCTCTTGCTAGCTGTTCATCATCGACGCCTACCTGCTTCACCTATAAAAAAGGACAGGACCAAAAGCACTAACAGAAAACTATGTTAAGGTGGACTGGGAAAACTGAAAAAAAATCAATTTACGGAAAATCGTTTCAAGGTTGATGATAGTCTCAGGTGGCATTTTTCACCTGCATTAAATGAAAATAGAGCCTTATGAAATGAGAACACAGCCACAAGCAAATGTAAAGTATAAAAATGAAAATTTTATTAGAAATATAAACATGCCAAAGACATCATAAGCAGGAAACCTCATTAAGAGGCTTTCGGGGAAAATCACTGCAAAAAATTGACGCTTAACGTGCTCAATTGTTTACGAAAAAATACCTTGTACTTATTGATTTTATGCTTTGTTTTCAAAATCAAGGCAGCAACACTGCGCGAAATAAAAACTGGAATAGAACCTTTGGCAAACTGGAACATTTTTGGAATAGGTAGGAATAAGCAAAATACGCTACTAACTTTCTGACAAGCCCAATGTGCGAGGATTCTGCTGGCCCCTTCTCTCTTTGGTATCCGTAAGTAATCGCATATTCGTATTGCTAATAGGTAGTGACGCCTTAGAATAAGCCTAGAACAGGAAAAACATGAGCGGAGAGATTTGTTTTTCCAAAATATTTGACAAAACTTCTAAAATCAATGACAGAATTCTGAAAGACCATTCGGAAGAGTATATATAATGAATGCCAACAAGTACAAATAATTTGATCATTTTGGTACGATGAGGCGTCATCAACTAATAGAAGCTACAAAAAAATATAAGCCAATTTAAATGTCAAGGCCTGATCATGTTTGAACAATGGAATTTACCTGTCAATCAAAACTGGTAGTGTAAGTCGTTGAAGTCTAATTCTTAGTCAAGGCTCTTTCATCTCTCAATTTCTTTTCAATAAATCCAGTTTAAGGCTTCTGCGCAACCGGCATGCTTTGCGAATATATTTTCAAAACCGGCCTAATATCGTACTAAAATATGTACGTTGCATGTGGTACTTCATCCAGATAAAAACACAACGTTAAAAACACGAAGTTTCGAGCATGTACTCGTTATCAAGTCTCTTTGAGTCTCTTGATAACGAGTACATGCTCGAAACGTCGTGTTTTTAACAATCAAACTATTATATTTTCAATCTAATACTAAATTTATTTGTTAACTGTATTATCGTTATTCTAATATCGTACTGCATGAAAATACAAAAAAAATCAATTTCTTAAGACAGCTGCCGCTAAGCATGAAAGTTGCGCAAGAGCTTTTAAAACTTGTTTATAATTTATGGCACTCATCTTGCAATTATGAAAAGAATAAAATTAAAAGATCAAGTCAAAACTGTCAAGATCATGCGTGGTCAAGTCTACTTCTAGTGGGATTTCTACAAAAAATCAAACACTCCCAAAAATAAGGCTAGAAAGGATACTCTTCGAATGTCAATGGGATGCCAATTTTATAGTGTCTCACATTATTGAGGACCCTTAATGTCTGTGACATTTCGACGAATGCTTGGGGTCTCATGTCTTTAAGAAAACTTTTACCAAATGACGCAGCCTGCGAAAGATATATTAAGACTGTTTTGAAATCAGCTGACTTATGACATCTGTGAAAAACATCAGCAAGACTGCAAAATAGCGAGCAACAGCTTAATCCAGAGATCGGAAGCAAAAATCCTTTCACCATGGAGCCAACACAGTTCATTACTATTAACGACATAAGTTCAAAAATTCTGAAAAACTGCATACATTCTTCATAGCTTTAGAAATTCATCTGCTAATCGTATCGAAATTTAAAAGCCTTGATCAGCATAAGTTTAAAGGGAAATGATCCATAGAAAAAAGCGAAATAATGAACTTTGAATACAAGACTGATGATACAAATTCTTGTTTCTTGATTCTCAAACACTTGGCAACACTTGCAGTTTATGTATACAAAAATAGCGAAAATTGAAAGATCAAATATAAATTTAGGTTTTAGGAGATCTTTGATGCAATTTTTCAAAGTTCCGAAGACGTTATATCCAAGAGAAATATGCGACATACTAAATCTGTTGGTGAGCATTTCGTCGGTAACGGACTGTTATGAGAACAAAGGCTAACTAAATCAATGCATGCAACATGTCCTTTGGCAATCCGTGCGAGAGACCCTTTCAAATAAAAACTATTATTTTAAAAGTTGTTTACACAAAATGGTGTCAACTTTCGATTGCTTTGGTTCGTTTAATTTTGCGTTGAAGATTTAGACTTGATATACAAAGCACTGACTTTTGCACAGCATTCAGTCACAAAACAAATACGTTCATTATCATCACAATATATTTTGCTACTTGTCCATGGACAGTTTTATTTCATTTGGCTATTTGAAAATTTTCCCCATTTTTGAGAATGTTTCATTCAGTGCACCGGCAAGCAAATATAAGCAAGTTCTCTTTTATCTTCCTTGAAAATTACCTTGAAAAGGTGTTTAATCAATCATTTCGGTGACAGCACGAAAGTGTGAATTAAAATTGAGGGAACATAAGCGCCCAATAAACTGAACTGGCTTCAATATTACTTTCCTGACCCTAGCATCCAAAGGACGCTAAAGAACTGCAGGCATTTTGAAACAGAATCGACAATTTTTCATATCTATTCAAGAGACTTTCTCTGACAATTGAAAAACCTTATTTCTCCAGAACATTTAAACAACAAAGCTTCAAGAAACTCGCCCAAACCTCCTAACATCGCGGAAAAATAAGGCAAAATTTAAATCCACACCTTCATGAGTCCTCTCTGTGCCTTGGGTTCAAACTCCTGCCCCGCAGCCTTGATACAGGCATGCACAGCCTCCTGCAGATGGTTCTTGATTGTCCTCATGTAGTCATCGACTCTCACTCGCATATTCTAAGGAAAAAACGTATTATATATTCACCTTTATTCATTGAAGATATACTACATGCATAAGAAAATCCTCATGAAAATCCATATCCATTAGAAAATCCACAAGAAAATCCATAAATTCAACAACAGCGCGAGGAAGTAGCATTTCTTCCAATCTCTTTTCAATTTTGTCGAAAGTAGTAGATGAGATTTAGTCCAATAAGTCGAATATCTCAAAGATCACCTCGTATTCGATGTTTGCATCGTATAACATTGCTCCAGGCTTCACTGAGCCAAGCTTGAACACATCTTCGACTTCGGCTACGTAGTAAAAAAATTCAATACTTAGTTTGAGGTATTTAAAAGAAATTAATACGCTTCAAGAGCAGAAATAGGAGATGAAAAATGCAAAATCATATCAACTTCGATCTAACAAGATATCACTAGCAAAAAAGCAACAAGATCGAGACGGTCCTAAAATAAAGAATTATTTTGTAGAGTTTGTGCCAAGTTAAGAAAAGCGAATTCAAAATAAAGAGCCGCTGATGTATTATTTTATCTCTTGTCGAAAAGCTTATTATTCTTTATATTTTGTTAACTTCAAAGAGAAGTTCTTACTTGAATAAGTTGCTTACTTGGAGTGGATTTCTTGTGTTATGATGCTAGATCTCATATTCAATGAAATCAAATGAAATCAATATTTTACTATAATTAATTACAAAAATTACTATATTTGAAGTATTCAAACTACGGACTTACCTGGCACTTTCTGAAGAAACTGGTGTTTTTCGTTTCCAATAATTCTTAATCCATCAACCTCTTGCACCAAACATGAGTTTGAATCCAGATAAAATCTTCGCACAGTTAAGGTTTCAACAAAGTACGGGTGTATCAAACTTAAGAATCAGAGTAAAAACTAGATTAACGATAATGCTGAGATTTGAGACAACGCTTCAAAAATAGTGCCAGGAGTAAATAAGGTTCCAATAAATTTGTCATAAATCTACAAATAGATTAAGGCAAAGCAGGATGGATTTACGTAAACCACGATCTAGTAAAAAACAATCGCTACGAAAAGGATCCTTGACTGTATCTCTCGTAGGCCCAACCATAAGCAAATAGCTTTCCCAGTACCCAACCACTGCTCCTGATCCACACCTGAAACAATAGATAGGATGCAATTGCTAGCGGATTGATAGGCCATATTGAAACAAGGATGCAAAGATAGGATGCAATTGCTAGCGGAAGCATTGATTGGGCATATTGAAACAGCTGGTACATCTACAGTGGTACTACAGTGGCTAAGGAAAGGCAAATAAACAGTAGGAATGAACAAGTTAACGTCCTAATCTACACCTAAAACGATACATAAGATGCAACTGCCAGTGCATCGAGGAAAGCATTGATTGCGCATATTGAAACAGTTGCAAGATCTAAAGTGGCCAAGTTAAAGCAAAGAAACAGTAGGGGTGAATAAGTTGAGGGTTATCTTAAAAGAATATCGTTATTACGTGGGCAGCAATGCTTGCTAGGACCGTAGCCTTAGAGGGTAGTTCTTTTTGCAATTGACAACTCACCAAACAAGCTGCTTTGGTCGCATTTGCAAGTGTGTGTCGTATACACAGTACTCGTCCTGAGGAATAGAGAGGAGTCGTTACCAGAACTAAATATTCATAAACGAGCAGTTTTGCATGAGCTTTTTTAATACTTTATTTTGCTACAGTATCTATTAATTGCTGTCAGCTTAAAAAATGCTGACAATGAAAGAAGTAAAATGATATCCACCTTGCCAAGACCTGTGGGGTTTCTTATCAAGATATTTTTTATAAGATTCGTCATCAAGGTCTCAGAAATTCAATTATGTTTTAAATTGTTTCTTTCTTTCTTTAGTCAATATAAACGTTATTTTGACTGTACTGGGGATGAACCTGAATGGGTGAATTTGTCCTTTCCCATTGGTGGAAAACGTGCTTATGACAGTATGGTGATAATTTTCCACTTGCTTTATATCTGGTGTAGCCATCTATTGCATCTAGATAATAAAGTAGCTTGCTTTTTAGTGAAAGGTTGTGTAATTTTTCTGTATTGTAATTGAATTGATTTATAGAAAAAAAGTTCTAAAAGTAATTAGCTGTAGTCAGGAGAACACCTGCTGCCCTCAAAGACTTTCTGTATCCGAAAATTGCACGACGGGAGAGTTAATGCCTTCAACTGGACAGTTAATTTAAAAATATCTGAAGAAGCGCCACAGCAGTAGCTGATTACCTTTAGATTCGAAGAGCCTATCCAAAGCAAGCCAGTATCAGCAAGTACGGCGATGTACTTTTGATTGAATGAAACTGCCATCTCAGTATATGATGAAACTTCATGGTGACTTGCAAGACTCTAAACACAGAAAAGAAAGTCGTCATTAAACCGGGCAGCTTGTAGATATATGAAAGCTTGCTGAACAAGCTTTGGAAGGAATGTTTCAGTAATTTATTGCCAATTCATTCATTTTTCCTTGAAGACATGCAGTTAAGCTAAATGAGTGATCGAGTTTATCTAGAAAGAAGCAGCAAGATTCCTTAAGTTAATCGGGTCAATCCCGTTTATGAAATTCATTATGGCGATAAATGCTGAGATGAAGGAGGGTCCAATTGTTACAAAAACTAATGTCATGCCAATAGAAAAAGGATTTTTGTCAGTCACCGTGGACTTTGCAATCAAAAAGGTTGACTGAAGCAGACTAAGCAACCCTATTAGTCTATATCAGCTACAAAGCTAATTAAAACTCAATATGAACAATAAGATTCAAATAAAAAATTTCTTTGGCCTTCATAGCGGTGATCTTCATCAGAGACTCTGGTTTAAAATGCACAGTAACAGTAGGGTTTTTAAGCTTTGGTACAATCACCTTAAATCTGCAATCGAGTCGTTTAGAATAAAAACAACGTTTTCAATAGGCAAAATATTAATGTTTTGCAATTGGGGAATTTTTCGTTTGTTACGTCCATGGTTGCACAATTCTAACTTCACCTCTCACTTCACCTCAAACTTTTACTGGAAGATCATAATATCATAATATTCCGAAAAAGACTAGTAGCTTTCTATAAGTAATTTGTTGCTGAATACATGTACTTGAAAGTTGGATTCAGATACGGTTTCGTGCATTGGCTAAAGAAACTTGCAAAATTGATAAGATGCCACAGATATTTTGAAAAAAGGTTTACATTAGCTGAAACAACCCTTGCAAATACTTTAAGCAGATAATTCAAAAACAAATGAAATATTGCCCTGATTGATACGATCTATAAGATTAAAAGTAGGCTTTGTTACTATATACGGTCTCAATATAAGAATAAAAATATGTATATATTACATTTCGCTTGTAAATGTGACACTAAAACCTTAGCTACCTTTGGCTTGGCTTGAACTACATCTAGCTCATAGAGGCTGTTGTCCTTGGCCATTAAAACTTTGGCCCCTTGTTCTTCAGGAGGTGACAGTACAACCCAGCTACTTGGTGGAGCTTCAACTATACAAAGCCATAAAGCAGATTTAATAGTTTTTACCAAATGAGAAAAAACTACCACGTAAATATTTTTCATTTCAAGAATAAATCACCAAGTGCTCAAATATTGAAGAAATGACGAGGCGGCATAAACTTTGATATCAAGAGACTGTATTTCCTGTAGATAATACTTTACAATTCCATTTATTAAGCATGATAGCAAAGTTTCGTCCATTAATAAAAATGTCATCACTAGGTAGTTGAGATTTATTTGCAAAAAGTATAAATGCACCCCAGCACGTACCAAAGGGAGACTGAAGCCTTTTAATCTTGACATCATCTATATTATTGACGACGTAAAACTCGTAGTCTCCAGAAATGACACAAATTCCAGTTCCGAAGTAACTGGCAAAAATCGAGCAGTCAATAATTCTTGACTTCTGTACCTCCTTAAACGACAGGTAAAAAACGATTATTAACAATTTCCCGCGTTTATCAATATTTGGTAAATTTTATCAGTAGTTTAGAAACATAGAATAGTATAAATACTTAAGTATTCGTCTTATTGCCCAAGTTTTTCAAAATACAGTCTTGCATCTTATTGCCCAAGTTTTGCAAGGGAGCAGCAATAACATGTACAATCATCAAAACTGCTGATGCAATGCTGACATGAATTAAGCTATTTGCGATTTGATTGGTTTAAACAAGGCTACCCGTAACTTGATTGGTTTAAACTAAACAGCAACTAGTTTTAGAGAAACTCCTTCTTCATATGTACTTAATTGTATGGTTATTAGCATCGCTCTAAAACCATATAGCATATACTCTGAACTGAACTGATTCGTTCCTTAAACATTTACATTTCTAGTTGACATTGATTAACAGAATAAAAACTTACAAAGACTTTAAAGATAAGATAAATTGCTAATAAATTTGAGAATAGCCGGAAGTAAGAGTAACTGAAAAATAAAGCCACATAAAATAAAATCATAACGGCCATCATCACTGCCAATTACCATTCCAAGTGAAAACTGCCTTTGGAAATTGCCAAAGAGATCATATATGTAGGCATGACCATTTTCCGACACACAAATGAGATCTTCATTGACAGCAAAGCCAATCTTTACAAGTCTACCACCATCAGCCTACGATTCCAAAAAATTATAGATATTTAAGTCAAACAATGTAAAATCATTGAGCTATCACTCACGTTAAAAAGATGAAATTTGCCAATAGATCATTTCACCGGGAGTGGACATCCCACCTTGGGTAGCTTAAAAACAATTAGATGCTTTGAAAAATATAATTTATGTCGTCACAGGATACTCTATGGTGTTCTTATATGATACCTTTATAAACCAGTTGTCAATTTAAACAAACAATGTCATATCTCACTCTTCTCTGACAGTTATTGTATCTTTTAATAGAATACATTTGAAATGCAACATAGTTAAAAGATACTATATATTTGTACACACATGCTATCTCAAAAAATTTTCACGACTCTTATGAAACTGAGTAATGAAAATTTTATGATTCTGGTGTTAAAAATCTGTTTCATATGGATTACTGGTCGCTTTTAATAGAATATTTGGACTTTCTAACCTTAGAAGGCAACCAATGATTTTACGCGTTTCAAGTGGTTCATATGTAGACCGTTTTAATTGTAATTTTTAACACTTAATGTAATGCCACGGGGTATTCATAGCATATTTCATTCCGTGATATCGTCCTTGTAATCTTTTTTCTGGTATCGTCCTTGTAATCTTTCATGGAAATTTCTTTTGGCATGGAAATTTTTATAGGTGTACAAAAATACTGAGTATTCCTAATTTCTTGAAATTACTTGCGTTGCTTGGAGCTATTCTCGTTATATAAACAATCCATATGCTCCCATTTTTTTGGAATCAATGTTCCTTTCTTTGCAAAACCATGTTCGGTCTAGGTGATCGGAAAACATGAAATTTCTATCCTCTTTGGGAAATCCTGTTAGTTAGTACATGGGATTCTGGTTGTACAAAGGACCCGTAAGCAAATCTGCACATCTGCTTATATGTTAGCAGTAATTCGGGCATAATGCAGGTTCTTCTATCTCAATTATCCACAGAAAATTCTTCACGATGTATCTCATGTCAAGTGATCCTTGTGAAGTGACCCTCTTAGATCTTTTCGATACTTCGTATGCGAGAAGAGTTTGATAAGAAAAGTTAAAGCCAAAATTACAGAGTTCTAGTTCAACAGGTTTCAGAACAAGGGCCTGTCAAAAATTGCGAGTTTTCTGCAATTTCAGGACTTCAGACCACACTCAAAGTCCCATAACCTCTGGGTATTAGCAAACTCTCATTGCAAGAATGATTTTTTTTATCAAATGAATGCTCATGTAAATCTTAATTCCCAAATGTTTAGCTACATAAACAAAGCACCTAAAATTTCAAATGTTGGTCACACCCAGGTAATGATTTTGCTTTTGAGAATATTGTTCTCAAATACATCTTGGTTGTCAAGAAATCGATACATAAAATTTAAGATTAGGGTAAAAAGGTTTCAGCGAATTGAAAGGTTGACATGTTCAAAATTCAATCTTTGTCCATTTTCTGTGCCGATAGTTTTCTAATCATGAAATGCAACCATTTGTTATGGATAAATGGAATAAATTAAAATTTCTAAAAAATAACTTAAAAACAATTGCTTCATAAAAGGTTTGGCTTTCCTTCATTTCTGTTTAATAGATTATTTTAAAAGCAAAATAAGTTCTCTCAAATTCACTTTTGGTCAATGCATATGTACATCCAGTGATGTTAATAGATTGACATGTGCAAGCAAATCTTGAAAATAAATACACATGCATCTCGTGATTCATCACCAACGCCAAATGTAGAAGCATGCATTAAAAACTTTTGAAACATGCACAAGGCAGTGTAGTTCTTGAGTTCCTGCAATGGTTTTGGTACTTTTCGAAAACTTTCTAGCAAAAGTTAAGCCTCTTCCATTCAATCATCATTTGTTAGCAATTTTGCATTGACTCCATTGAGACAGACAGCGACAAATTTGAACCATGGCAAAGCCAATAGTACTTGATAATCAATAGGTGTCTACAAGTGGATTTACGTTTAATTATTCCTTCTATTTCATTATATGATTCAAACAGACACTGACACCTGCTAGGACCACTAATAAAAATTCCAAACACTAACAAATCTTCTTTACGTAGGCAAAGGTGTTTCAGTCAGATGTTAAATGAACTAGGCCTAATTTTATCCTCTTATTTGTAAAAACCAAAGGGAGAAGTGCAGTCATTTAATTATTCCTGTTGTTCTTCTTGAAGGATTCCTAGTCAATTCTTCAAATACACATGTTGTTATAGTGCGATACAGTCATGCTGTTTACGATTAGTGCATCCAAAACCGAAGTTCTCTGAGTGTGTGACAAATGTTTCTATGTTTCAGCTGTGACTTGCTATCTTCTTCTTAATCTGTATTTGATCAATGGATAACTCGAGGGTAGGTTTCACATTTTTCGGGTCTAGTGCATTTGGTTGGTTAAAAAGAATATCTTCCAAGTCAAAGAACCATGGCCTCTGAACCATGAAAATATCAAGAGCCATGGCCTCTGATACAGCATTGAGACTCTGCGAAAACCTGTTTGCACTTCTGGGTGTTCGTTCTTGAGCTTTTGAAACATTACTATTTTAAGTCGTCCTTATTAAAATCTTAAAAAGGAAACAACAATGTGTAATGTTGTTTCTGGTAATAGATTTCAAGTCTTTGGGCTGGGGAGTTGCGATTATACCTTCAGTCTTATCGCAGTATATAGGCAATGCAATGCAATGCAAACTAACAAATGCTTCATCGTTTTTCTGCAGCTGCATTGCCATGATTATATTATAGGCAAAGTAATCGTCGCACTCTTGCTTGCGCTATTTTTAAATTTTGAAGCAGTTTTTTACATGACCTTTAGTATGTCTTTCATACTAAAGTATGTCGGAGGGTGAATCACTGCAGATGGCTTAGGCTGACCCGCCAGCCTTTTCAAAACATCTCTCAACTAATTCAGGGTCCATCTGGTCCTTTCCCAGTACATACAATGGGCGTTGGTTCAATTTACTCTATGGCAGGGAAAGCAATGCTTGATCTGAAAACCAAAATTGATCTCCAGATGGGACAAATCATTTCTTGTTTCCAGCCAAGATAATACTGGATCAAACCATCTCCTAGTGTTTCAAACAAAAATGCTTCTTTGGGGTGCTGTAAATTAATGAATGACTTTTCAGTGAGATTTGAGCATTTTCTTACATGTTCTGTAGTCACTTTACGTTTCTTGAATGGATCATAACAGTACATCTAGTTTTTCCGAAGGCATTGACACTTTTAATACATGACACATATACATGGACGGTAGCATTTCATGAGCAATAGATATTAGATTATCAATAAATTGGAATTTTCACACATCATTATTCACCATACACAAAAAAGAATTATAGCACATGTAGGTCCCTGAAAGGGCCTTATTTCTAGCAACATCCGGTGCATAAAAGTTTTTGACGAGAGTAAATTGGCGGGCGACGGCAAGCCATTGTAGGCATGCACATACACATTCACTCTGACGATATCTTGTATACTGTGGCGAAATATTGAATAACCTTCTTGTTATTTTCAAACATTTTAAATTTCATGTACAATTGATTGCTCCTTGTCATTTTGCATTACAATGGGTTGCTCCTTGTCATTTTATTATCAACATGTTATCATAGGAAGATTCATAGAATCTGGCAGACTGTCTATATCCAGTGTCTCTCACTTGTTGCATATCAATTCTGTTTCTCTGTACCTCGCAAATTTATTCTGACAAAGTGTTTTCGCTTTATTTTTTGAAGAGCGAATACTACTTTAGACCTAGGTTTTTGACAAGAGTAGCTGCATCATTAAAAAAGCTTCGTGTATATTGTTTATCAACATTGTATGTTGCATGACGACTAAAGAAGCAGAAATGGCAAATGACAAATATCTTAAAAAAAATCGCCTTACATTAAAAGTTGCCATCTGTTTTCCTGATGCTGAAAATATGTACACTGTTTGACTTCCAGCTGAAACATCATCTTTTGTGATTGCTATTAAAGTTTAAAAATTCACAGATAATTTAGTATAAGAAACCTGCTTACTTTGTGTTTAACAAAAATATTGGAAAGGTTGCAAACCTTCAATAAAATACAAATTATTTGATAATGGCACAAATGCAAAGAATCATAGCACATTGAAGTACTTTCGTCCCACACTTTTCAGATTATAGATTTCGGGTAATGACTGAGGGTAATCAGAAATTTTATATCCAGGGGTGAATCGTAAGTGAAGTTATAGGACGGATGAGATGTTGACATAGTAAAACAGCACGCTCCCGCGAGCATCAGACAAAACAGTGGTCTAGAAAGAAAACAGAACAACAAAAATGCCAATAACATTTGCTCACAAATCCAGTTTGTACCAAAACGAAAAATAATTGGACTGGCAAGGTCATACTTTGATTTGGGTCTTTTGGAATCTGCATACATCAATCAAAATAAACGATCCCGATATTTGTAGATAGAATGATTTTGTGTAGACGGACTAGCTATCTCTTATTGGTAAAAAACAAAAGAACAAACTAAAAGCATCTTTCTTGCTCTTAAGCTGCTTCTAGTTCACACATGGATATAGATTCTTCTGCTTACCTCAATCTCAAGTTTTATATGTTTCTGCTATTTCATGACATTTTCAAATTCAAAGATACCAAATAATTATTAGCAAATTAATTCTTCGTTGTAAAAAACAGTTTAAACTCCGATTTTTAAAAGATATGTAAGCTAACTGCAATTATTTTAAAGCTAATTGTGAAATTATTCCTGCAAGATTTTCAGATAACATTGATGCCATTGAAAGGTCTTAATTAAACAGTGCAGTTCAAATTTATTTTATTTATGGGCAAGTTGTCAAGTTTACATACAAAATTATGGCTATTTCAAGATATTCATTTTCCTTGTCCATTTTTCATTGTCCTCTGCGGTCTATTTGTCACAGTCTTGTCTCTTTTTAGTTTTTTCATTTGCCGTTTGAAGTATTAGATTGGTGTCGATTGGGGGGTCATTATAATGCAAAATTGGCATTAGAGCCTAACCTTAATCCTAACCCCAACCCTATGAATATCAAGGAAAATGAATATCAACCTTAGAATGAGGGATTATTACTTCAGAGATGTAGGCTTATTCGAGGGGAGGATTTATTAAAGGAGGGGGTAAATTAGAGGCTTTACCATAAATTTCCTTTAATTTTTGAATAAAAGTAGTATTATAACATGCTATAAATAAATTATGCCTAATCTATAATCTCCTAGCACTAATGGACATTCAAGGGACAACCCAAAGGATCAATATGACCCACCAAAATATACAACGCGATCCATGTCATAAGGAGAAAATCCACGCCAAAAGGAGAAAGAAAACACAGACCAATCAAAATCATTACTTTCCCATTATTGCATAATTGCTATCTATCATATTCATAAGTTTAAAAAACTTGACAAAATTTTTGTAGCTCAATTACACTCCACTTACCTATAGGACCTCCAAATGTACCAGCAGCAACTTTATACCGTGAAAGGTTTATCTTGTCTTGCCAAAGCATATCATAAACTTCCACAGTTCTAAAGAAGAGACATTAGAATACACAGGTCTTGCACTTTTTAATACATTGCTTGTCAGGGAAAACTCCTACAACAGTCTCACCAAGCATGCCGAGGACAAACAGCATCAGAGGGGTGTTAAAAGAGTTCACTGCTCACCAGCAAATTGTAACCATATGGAAACATATGATTACAAAATGTTGCATATTGAATATAACCAGTATATGGCACCATTTAAACGACTCATAAACTTAGGTGATAAAGTGAAATGTAGTTAGTGAAATTATATTATTGAATTTTGTTATTATGGACACAAAATCTGGCAAAACATGTTTGAACTAAAGGTACATGGATTCATGGAGCACTGCATGTAAACCTTACACTAAAGGTTAATCATGGTTGTCATGAAAGTATGACAATCATATCAGATTCTCTATACCAAATAACCATTGGAAATTATGTTGTCTAAGACATACAGCCATATAAATTCAAAATGAAATTTAAGATCTTATCAGCAACTTATGCAATGCCAATATTCGACAATATCAAATTAAAAACATGCAAATGGTAAGCCAAAAATGCAAAATATCACCTAAAGTGAATAAGTAGCTGTGAATAATTGGCTCAATATTAATGTGCTAAAGAAGATTTGATATGGTACTTTGTCCTGAGAGCATTTTCATTCATTAAAAAATCAGTCTTCTTCTTGAGAAGAATATAAGACTGAGAAGAATATAAGAATATAAGAATATAAGACAGAATATAAGAAAGTCCCTAATCCTGAGTGAAGACATTCTGTGACCAATAGTCATACATTCCAGAGAAAAATAACACCCTGAAAAAAACCAACCTTGCTAAAAATGATTCATTTTCTCCACCCTGCATAATATTTTTCCCTAGCTATAACAATTTCCTTTACAAACTTACAACATAAAGGCACTTGGGATAATTAGTGCCAACAAAACCTTTCGCTGATGAAACATCCTTTATGATGAAAAATATTTATGCTGATGTTGATTTCTAATCAATCTTACTTTTAACAATTTAAAACACAGTCAATAATGAAGACTGAGACTGATCACCGAAGTGGAAAAATATTTTTGAGGAAATGAGTGCCAGAGATTATATTTGTGCATGAATCCCACAGGACAAATTTTTACTATTAAATATGTTTATGATAAGCACCTTTTGCATTATAAACTGTTGTTTTAAAGATAGTTTCATGGAATTCAATCCAATTACAACACTGTTTCTGAAATTGGAACTTTGTGCTTGACATGGATACTTCCAAAGCTAGTGTGAAGAGAACTGATGCCTTTGCACTAGCGTGAAGAGAATTGGGATTGGCTTTGGAATGAGCTAGTCTGTAGATAATGCATTCTGAGCATTCTGAGCATTCTGAGCTAGCATCAATGATTTACTGCAAGCATATATCATTTCAAAAAAAGTAGGCAAAGCTGTAGTTATTGATACCAAGAAGCCCCTCCACTTGTTAGAAATAGAGGTAAAGTGACAATTAGCTGCTCATAATGGTGCCCCTTTTACCCTACATGTCCCCCTTTCCAGTATGAATTACCTATTGGGTCTATGCCTCAAAGTAAACTGCGACACTTTTATTGAATTAACTTAATCAGCAGCTTTCTTCTATCGGTTCCATTATATTTGTAAAATCCAAAGTCATATTTTGTAGCTTGACTCTATGACCACTGCTGCATCCGGCATTTTTCTTGTTTTTGTTTCTTCATACTTACTGTAAAAGTCCCTGACATTTAGCAACCCTATAGATCAGCACATTAGGACAAGGGCAGAATAAAGTTACTACCTGAGGCTGCAGCATAGTTGCAGTCGACGGTGAATTTTTCATAAGTTTAATGCTTCAAGTTTGCCAGCAATTGCATTTTTGGAGCAAATTTTAATAATAAAATCTTGTTTTTAAAATGAATGGTATTGATTGCTTTTTCCTTAAGTTTTACCTTATGCAACATAACTGCATAAATTTCCAACTCTGGGAAAAAAAGTTTTTAAAACTGGTGATAGGCACAAAATTGGCACTGTCCTGGTCTTAAATATCAAATAAGAATATAGTTTAAGACCAATATTGACCGATTTCCATAACCAAATTCAGATTTTGTTTTGGTGTGGAAATATGTTATTTTCTTAACAAAAATGGATTGCCGCTTTTGTTTGTTTGTTTGTAACCTTATTTTAATTCAATATTTTTCTAGCTTTACATATATACATGGATATATACATACAACTAATCTAAATCGAATCTACTGCATAACAAAAGAAGAGGATATAACTAAGGAAATAAATACGTACATACATAAGCTAAATATATGAAGCAACTTGGATATGAATGGTCAAATATTACAGGATATTGATATCATTATATTTACAAACATTGCATTTGCAGCTAGGACCATCCCATCGTTTTATTATACGTTTGAAGCTGTTAAGATTGTCAGCTGATTTTAGTTCATTTGGCAGACAGTTCCAGATCTGAGGTCCTATGGCTTTAAGGCTCTTGGAACCAAAAGTTACTTGGTTTGGTCGAAAATGATTTAAGTTATTAGGATTCCGAGAAGGATGTTTTAATGTTCTTGAACTAAAAATACTATGCATAAAAGGTGGATTCAAATTTTTAATTGTCTTGAATATTTCGATACAGAGGGTTCTCTGACGAGCAACTTGCATTGTACACTTTTTTGACCTAGTAAGAAGATCATCATAGGAACTTTTATGATCATTGATAATACGATATGCCGCTTGATAATACAGAAAGTTTGAGAACATTCTGACATAACGATGATTTTCCCGAAAATCCGTCAAATTCTAAAAACAGAGGGGGCTAAGTCCTCCCTGCTCCCCAGCTGGCCACGACGCCCCTGCCTATATATAATTTCATTTTGAACATCATTGATTGTACATGTAAAACAAAGAGTGGTAGGACCTCATCAATCAAGTCTTATCTTCACTTCAGATAGCTTTTTTCAGAAGCATTGAAAGAAAATCGTGTGTTAGCAGTTGCAAGCAAAGGATCCAATTTTCAGCATTCAATTTGCAAACTCACCTGTAGTACACCTCACCAAGAGGGTTCCAGTTTGTTGTGTCCGCCATTCTTTTTCCAGTAGTTTAATGCCAAAGAGAGGCTGATCATATGACATCTGACAGGGGGAACATTCTCGGAACTTTCAAACTGGTATTATCATGACTATGGTATTATGAAACTCTGTAGACGTACAAGTTTGATCTTGCTGTACTGGAAAAATGGTTGCGATCTCATTTCAATATTTGCCCAATTTCTTTTTTTTAAAATGGCTACATATTACGATTTATACCGCAAATCTCTTCCTAATTGTGATACCATACAGTGCTGTCGGAACGAAATTCATATTTGGGGGAGGGGGGCTTGGGCTGCCTATAGTATTCCTTCTCAATCAATACACTGTTATAAAGGAAATATAACTAGGCTGAAACAATTATTGAGGGGGGCTCCAGCCAACCAACCAGCCCTTCTCCCTCCCAGCACTGACGGCCCTGTCGTATCAAAGTGAGACTTAAAAAATTTGTCAAGCTTGAAAAAGAAAGTATCAAACACTACCACCAAGATCAGAATTGAATACTCCGTGTAATGGCTTGGCTTTCGTATTCAAGGACCAAGAAAAAGGGGGGCCGGGGGGCCCTGGCCCCCCCAAATATTTTAGTACCATTAGTAATCAGTACCATAATTTAGTACCATAAAAAATTGGCGGAATTATCATTTGCACATTTCAAAGGAATTAATTCCCATGAATACTGCAAAAGTTCCACTTTTCGAGGTCCCACTTACAGATTGCAACGTCGTTTGGATACTTATATTTTTATAAGAAACCACTTATAAACTCCAATACTAAGAACAAATCATTTTAGAGACTTTTTGTTGTAGATCTTTTAGTCTAAAAAAATCTAATGGTATATCTTTATTTAAGATCTGATATTTTTTAGAAACTCTCAGTACAGATACAATTATGTAGCTTTTTTTTAGAGAATAGCTGTTTTGCCACTTTTAAAAACATTGTTGTTTATTAAATTTTGTTTTGTTGGAAGTCGGTGAGGTTACTCATTAATCATCAATCTTTTTGTTGTTTTGTTGAAAAGATTACTACATGGTTAAGCAGATATTAATGATAATAATGTTTTAGATATTTTGGTTTGCAGATAAGGAATTCAGTTGTTGCTGCCTTAGTTCGTCACATTTAAAATATTGATCTTAAAATGTGTGATCATTTAATCTCTTTAGAATAAAAAAATTTTCAGTAATAAAATTTTTCTCACAACCAAGATTAATTTGGTTTGGCACTGCCGGTGACAGCTATTTTATATATATTCAGCAGGGATCCCCCCGGACCGTCAAATTTGCCAAAAAAAAATCATTTTTTTGCCGACAGGTTTGAAAATTTGCCGACCAGTCATCCCTTGATGGCAAACACTCTACGCTTTTGAAATATGATATTTTCAAGGGTGTCTTACACCCCTCACGCCCCCTTTCATGCCGGCCCTGCTGCCCCCCCCTCAAACAAAAAGTTATATCTCGTTTCTTGTTCGTATTTAATCAATTTTAGTAATATTCCCGTTGCGTGTTATAGTCACATGTTCTGTCAAGTCATGTTGTGTTAGTGAACAACGCCATTTTATGGCAATGTGCTTGTCTTTCAACATGTAGTGTGACGCTCGTATTGTCTTGTTAATTAGCTTCCGTTTATGTTATTAGGTTATTAGTGTGTGTTGATCACGTTATAAGTTAGTCTTCCGATTGAAGCATTAGAGATAACATCAAAGAAGTAGTATCTATTGTGCGTTACTTGTTTAGGGCTTAGGCCCTTTGGCCTAGCCCATCGCTCAGCCAACGACCTGGTTCTTCACCGTCATAACAAGAACCCTTATCGTTACATACGCATGCGTATCTATTTGCGAGTTCCCATTTGCTAGGTATAGGTCTAGTGGCCTACTGTGCAAAAAACCTATTAAAGTATATTTTAGATGCAGATACATTTCCTCAAGGTGTAGTTGCCTTCTTACTGAAGCAAAATCTTTTTTTCAGTAGAATTCAAAAGATTTCAACTTAGAAAGTTTAACACAACATGGTAGCAAGGAAAAACAGGCTGCATGGCACAAGAATGCCAAAAAGTCAGGTCTTTCCAAGCAATAATCTTCTTTCCTTTTTCATCGCTGCAAACTTGTCTAGTACCTCGACATGATCGCTTTCAGTGTTTCTGCAGATACATACTCGCGGTCATCAGATTGGATAAATGATCATTTATACTAGTGAACCAATGCCATCTTTTCATCAGTCCCTATACTTTCTTCGCAGGCAGGACGTAATTGTGCAAATGGGTGCAAGGTCTGAACAATTCCAGTCTATTTTCTATCCTGCTTTTTTGCACCACCTGCTACTGCTTTTAAATTAGAACTGCTGTCCATATTACGTCCTCCTGCGAAATCCGCTTTGGCACAACTTAGGGTTGGCCTTAGCAAATTGAACCCTCACAAATTCAAACACAATTTTAGGGATACAATTATCCCAATGTGCCCAGCAAATGATGGCATTGAGGATACTGAGCACTGTTTGTTGCACTGCCCCTCTTTTGACGGGAAATGGAGTGATCTTCTCGCTGGAGTATTTGCACTTCTGAGACCATTTGGATAAACAAATCCTTCAAGCAATGTTTCAATTCAGGTTTACTGTAGTATGATGATATTACTATTAACATTGCAGTTTATCCGTAAAACTGGTCGACTTGCTTAAGATCGTCCCTATCCTTGCCACATGCCACCACCTTATATTTTATACTGTTTTAGTATATGTTTATGTAGTTAGATGTATGTCTAAGTTTCAGGAAACCTTTCTCTTTTTTCACGTTTGATGGCCCCGGGGTAGACAAAGTACTTTTCTCTCCGGGGTATCGCCCTCAGTAGTATTGTAGAGTAATTTCCTGTATTTAAAGTATTTTGTGATATGTATTTGTAAAATTTTTATTGGGTCATATAAAAAAAGAAAAAGAACGATCATTTTCCATGGATGATCAAAGGTAGTTTTTATCAACTTCATTCTGCTAAACGAGCACTCTGCACAAGCTGAAGACATTAGTAGATAGACAAGGATTTGAAGCAGCGTAGAGAGGTTTGGAAAAGAAGGTCAAAGCCGATTCGATTGGTCACCCTAGATTTCAGGATGTCCCTCAGCGACTTGAGATCATCATCCTCTACGTTTGTAGCAATGAATGTTTTATAGCAAAGCTGGAAATCCTGAAATTTGTTGATAGCGTCTGCGATATTCACGTCCCTCTAGTAACATTTAGAATGTGCTTTCTTATGAGACCTTGCTTCTTCATCAGTGACTCTTTTGGGGAGTAGATGTTCAAATTTTAACAAATTTCCATCGAAGTGTTGAAACCTTTTGTGTATTTCTGTGCAGATTCCATCTATAACTAAAAATGGCAACCCTTGGCTTGCCATTTGTGCTCAGATCAGTGTCCTCAGCTGTGTCCATCTCATCAAACAATATCTTCTTTCGATTTATTGTTCTGTAGCTTTCCTTATTTTCGTTGAACAAAACATTGCGTCCTATTCCAAGGTCAGTCTCTCTCTCACTTTCCCCGTTTCTGTACCATGCAAGGCAACATGTCTTCTTTAAGGAAAAATGACCTTCTCATGTTTTCCCCCCATCGGCAGCTGCTCTGTCGGGAAATTGCCACATTCAAAAACTACCCATATTTACAGTCACCAATTTAGATTAAAAAAATAACTTCGTATGCTAAAGTAGTGTTCTAAATAAAGATTATTCTAGAAGGAATTAAGATAACTTATCCTGTTGGCATCCACCTTGGCGATGACACAGTTATGGCATTCCAGTCAAAGCTGTTTACTTTTTCAGCGGCATCCCCAGCTCCCCAGCGTTTACATTTAAGACAGTTAAGAGCAAATAGGTTAATTGATTAAGTCTTTGATCTTTTAAGATAACCATCTCCTTTTAAGATTGAAAATTAGCAATAAAAATTTAAGAGAGTGCAAGTTACAAAAATGGTTTGAACTTGTGAAAAATTTAGCATGTTCTTAGCAATGTTTCCAGTGATCCCAGGTCGCAAAATTCCTTTTCAGGAAATAGAAGGCACTGTGCTAAAAGTGAATTATAATCGAATGCCTTGTTATTATCAATACTGGTAGCATACTCATGTTTACAGCTACGTATTTGATTTCCCAACACTTACTTCAATCGAAAGCTCTTCAAAATTCGAATTCAAAATTCATTATTCATCACTAACCACATAATTGAGATTAAATGAGTCATAAAAATCGCCCTAGAACAAGGCACGAACACGTGTAGAAAAACACACGTGCTTTGTTTGATTTTGTTTCACTAAATCTGCTTTTTGAGAAATCAGATGTCTCGTATACTTCATATCCGTTTTTTATGCTGCTTACTGTTCTACATGAAACCCCATAAGGAGCGTTGAAGTCCTAGATGACATGCAGTCTTTGCTTAACCATTGAATGTCACCTGCAATCTTTTATGCTACAAGCATTAAGTAAAACTCTAATTGTGACGTTTCATCCATATATGTCGTGAAGCAATAAATTTGCGCAAAACAATAAAAATGACATTTGCTCTATGTTCACCCAGTATTCAGTGCAGCCTTTTGTGTCATGTTTTAGCATTATATGTCATGCTTTAAGTAAATTAATTTCTCATACCGTATGCCCTCTAATAAACGCCGCATCTTGAAAAGCAAATACAGGGATATAGACATTCCTTTACATTTCCATTACGCGAACACGTCTTTTGTGAACTTTAAAGAAAATTCACACAATCTTTATTACATTTTTTCAACTTTCTACAAACTTTTCGACAAACCTTTCATTTTGTATTAAACATCGTCCTCTGATAAACGTAAAATGAATCATTTCAAGAGCTTTCATCGCCAGTGGAGCTGATCCACATTTAGTTTCTATTGATGATTTGCCATCCTCTCAATCTAAGTTTCTAACCCTTGCAGAAAGTTGATTGTCGTTGATCTCTGCAACTCTCTTTCCCCAGATGATCTCAAAATAATTTCGCTGGACACACCCATCCATGAACGTAAACTCTTGGCAAATACAAGACGTGATCCGTTCTTCCTCTCCTTCGCTTTCCTTTGATTTTCCCGGTGACCACTACCATTAGACCAAGCTTTTTTGAGACCCTTCCCCTTCTCCTATCATAATTTTTCTTTTGCTACGGAGCTGTAAAACACTAGGTAATCAAATTTGGATTTCTTCATTCAAACTTATAATGTCTGAACTATTGATATGGTTGGGAAAAGTGATAATGATACTAATGCAGAGTACTTTTCGATTGTCAGTTTTCTGCATTAATCTCTATTATCACCTTCATTGCTTGGTAAATTGTTGTCTTTTTTTAATCCAGAAAAATCAAAATGGTCCCTATCTTTATGCAGGTTCAATATCAGATCACACAAGTACTAGCGAAAAATTGATTTATTGATGGGAACTTGAATCAGGCTTGGCAACTGAGTAAAATCATCACACCTACATAAGCAAAACCACAATATAATGATGTTAGTTACCTGTTTTAGAAACCTGCAAATAATGACATTCTTTACCACAAAACCTGAATGCAACAAGTGATACCATACAACCTCACAATACTCATTCACATCTGGGCGGTTGGTAAGAACAACTTGATTGTGTTATTCAGTAGGAGATTTTATGGCGTCTATAAAATTGGTGATTTGTAGCAAATTTTCGCTACAGTAGGACAAGCTTTCGGTGAGACTCAAACTTCAGGATAGTTTTTCCATAGGTAAAAACGTAGGTCAGGATGTACGGATAAACGTTTGAAGATCAAGTTTTAAACGAGGTCTGTATTTGAAGTCCTACCTAGTAGGACCTATTTCAGATTACAAAAACCACAAAATGATAATCACCAAGGCATCTGCAGTATTCTTAAGGTGAGACAAATCTTCATAGAAGAATGACTATTAGTTTTACTACTCATAATGAATTCAGATTATTCGTTTTGCATTTCAATACAACTATTATTTGTAATTTTATGCAGTAGGGATGACATTGAAGAAAGTTTCTCTTGCTGCTGTTTTCTCTTCTTACCAAATTTTTCAACATGAAAAAATTTGCTTTGTTTTCCGTTATATATCTGAACAAATATGAGAAACAGATGACCGTATCAAATTTGCAAGCATCATGTAATTAACATACATCTCACATTAATTTTGCAAAAAAATTATATTCCAGATTATGGATGCTTGCAAATCTATGGAATTATTGCAATGGGCTGATTCTTCGCCTTCCTTGCCTGGTCCATGCAGATTTCACCATATTTGAAGTTGATTGGTCTCTACAAGGAATCCTGTTGGCAACAATACAAGGTATCCATGATGCAGACTGCACGTTGGAATGTGTAAAGCATCCTAAATGCAAATCATACAATATACAGAATGTCACTGCCATTTGTGAACTGAACAGTAAGATTGCTGGTGAAAATGGAAGTAGTCTTGTTCAAAGACCTGGCTGGGTTTACAAGTCAACAGATTACAACCAGACAGAGGTTGGTTAAATGATTTTACCTTCATTTATTTTGGCGACACAAAATGCACTTAAGTAATGGCAACAGCGTTGAAACAAAATGGTCGTTTAAATTTGGATCACTTTCTTGAAAGCATTAAGCATTAGCTACAGTTAAAAACCGATTTAGAACGAAACCAAGTTAAAAAAAACTTTTTGTAAAGTGAAATTGTTAGCTTCAAATTTGACAGTCTCAAAGTTATAAAGCCGCACTTAAGGCTGCTTTTCATATGCTTGCCCGGGAGATGAATCATGTCCGTCTTTCTAGACATACACTAGCCCCCGTTTCAGGGTCACTACACATGCGCCTTTTCATTCGAAGCCCTGGCGGGAAGGCCAAGAGTTGTGTGGTCACAGGCAGAACAACTGTGCGAGTACTGTTATTAATGCGCATGTGCTATGACTCTCCAACACTGATTGGTCGAAGACGGTAGTGTTTTGGAACAAAAGACTAAAGGTTTCGTCTTCTGAGCAAGTAACGAATTTTGATGTATTTCATCGCAATCCAGAGTCTACGATAAATTAAGATTACTTCGTTTTATGAAAACCGACCAAATTATATGAAAACCACCTTGTAGAACGTAATTCAATGAATTTTAACGTAATTCATTGGAAGAAATAAAGAATTTTTGTCTCTCTCAACAAAATACGTTGAATTACGATGAATTAAGATGAAATACGTTCTTCGGTTTTCATATACCGTGAAAATCGTGGACCTTGAATTGCGAGGAAATGCGACGAGATATGTCGCTTTAACACCCTTTGCTTTGCGAAAAAAGAAATATTTCTGGTGTGAAAGAAAATTTTGCCACAGAAAGTGAGTTTTGCCGTGAGAAAGATTCTTTTGCTGTATGGAAAGGAGTTTTGCCGCAAGAAAGAAGTTTTGTCAAGAGAGAGAATATTTTGCCGTAAGAGAAAAAGTTTTTTGCCACGAGAAAGTGGTTCCTTTTATGAGAACGAAAGATTTCCTGTGAAAAAGAAAATATTGCTGTGACTTATGTAGGTCACCATAGCTGGAGAACCAGGATACAATCAATTTTGGCTTTGTAGTTTGTGGAAGTTGCACATTTTTGGTTGCTTTTTATGATGATTCTGACTCTGTTAATACGACTCTGTTAATGTCATTGAGATTATAATAGTGTCATTGTTTAAAAATATGGAAAACTTAACCATACTTTGAAAATTTCTTGATTGTCTTCTTCTCAAGCAGTCATCTTAAAACTCCTTCGTAACTTGCTACATCAATTTGGATTATACCGAGTTAAAAATCTTGCAGCTTTGGAAAACTTTTCGGATGCGAGTGTAGATAACATTAAAACGAATACTCAATAGTGTATGTAAGATATCTTAAACCCTTAGAAAAATATTAAGAAATTTTAGTCTTTCATGTTTTGAATATTAACAAATAAATGGAGCATACAAGCATTTGCATGTATTTGCATGACAATGATTCTTATTTACCTTAAGATTGGAGAAACATGCCAGAAGCTTCATCCATGCCCACGTGGCGTTCTTTGCAAAGAAACGTGTCATCATCCTTACTACGAATGCGTTCATTGCGACGGTCAACAATATGGGCTTCATTGTGAAAGCCTGAAAAGTAATAATGACTTTTCTACAATTGCAAATAGTAAATTGTGGATAGTGCTAATCAGAAGAGATGTTAATTATTTTCTAAAATTTTACTACTTACTCTTTCGAAGTGCAAAAATACTTGCGTAATTTGAAAAGTTTAACCTAAGGTTTAAAGGCTGGCACTTCAGGGTTCTTTTTTCACATACGCGCCCTTTCATAAACAAATTCACTAGCCAGAATCTTTTCAGAATTGTTTATTTTCTTCAATGAATAATCTTGTTCAGAATGTAGCCAGAATGAAATTCCAAACGCTGCTACTCGTCGTCAGCTTGTGAGTCCTTTATGATTTCGCAGTTGCGCGGATTCAGCCTAAATTCGAGTGGTGATGATTCAATATTAAAAAAGGGCGTTTAACAAATAACTGAATTACTGCGAAATAGCGTCACGAAATAGCGAAAACATAGCACACGGACTGAAGCGCATAGTGGAAAAGGGTACTTGCCATGCGCGCGATGAATCACAGGGGTTACAGATGTTAACACTGCTTAGCGATATCCACCATTTTGTTTAACTTAGCTCCGTCCGCCACTCTTCAGAGTATAAACGTCAGATAATAACTGAAAAAAATTTATATTGGTTGGTTCTTTGTTCTTAGTTGAATAATCTAAGAGAGAAAACGAACTCTTTATGTCTACAGAAGTCGTGAACCTTTCCTTTTATATAGTTTTGGTTATATTTTCCTTATTATTAGCATTTAAGACTCTCGAAAAGTTGCATTACAACTTTGACCCCCATAGGTTTCTTTTGAGTTAGTTGCTTTATTCCCAGTAGCACGTGAAACTGAAGGCACGAGTCTTCCTAACGTAATTAACGTGGACCAAATCAAAGAAAATCACAGAACATTTCTTTCTTAATATCATCAAAGAATTATCAAGTCTTGATAATGAGTACATGCTCGAAACGTCGTATTTTTAACAATCAAACTATTATATTTTTCATTCTGGTACTAAATTTATTTGCTAACTATATTAAATAATAGAGACTCTGGTACCCAGGGTAAAAGCATGCATGCTTCCGATTTTCCGTGCTACCTTCAAAAACATAAACTTTGAAATTTGTATACTTCCGGTTTATAGGCCTACACAACTGCAATAACAGCCCTTGTCAAAACCAAGGTACATGTAGCAGTATTGGAGAAGAGTTCAAATGTATGTGTACTCCCGGATTTACAGGAAGATTATGCGATGCAGGCAAGTATCAACAGATGCATGACAATTGTACTAAAGTTAACAAAGAAAAAATATTCATTTCACCAGATTAACCCTCTATTCAAGGCTATTCTTGGTTCTTGAACAAATCCAATGGGTATTTTTACTTTATTTTAGAGTCAGGATCTGGAACTGAAAATAAAATTCTAAATAATAGATCTATACCTTGGTCTTTATTTCCTTTTTGACAGTTTTAAAATGTAACTTTTTGTAAAATTCTGAATTATACATGTCAGTTTTGACCATTTAAAAACACAAACATTGCTTATAACATCAAGCTCTTAGGCAAGCACGCTTGTAATACGGTGCAAACCTGGTTTTCTTGAAAGATTATGGAGTTCATTCATATCAAAGCTTTTTAAAATTGGAGACACTCTGTGAGAGAACTTGGTATTTTATGGTTTCCTTTATGAATTCTACAAAGTTCTGACAGAATTGTTAAAAGTCAGCAATACCAGCATCGGGAGGGGCTGAATTCCTGAACTGAGTACCAAAGGCCATTCTTGGCTAAATTTTTTATAAAGATCTGCCACGAGGACATGGTACCGATAATTAGATCATTTTCTAGAAATAGAATACCCTTGATATAGCCTATTGATTCATTTCCAAGCCATTCGAGTTTGCAGATATCGCAAAATAGTTTGTTTGATCGAACTTGGAAATCATTTATGTGTTGTCAAAGATAATACCCTTGGCTAGATCTTGTCGTGATCAAAATTGCAGTGTTGTCAACAGTTTACCCCCGGCTAGACAAGAAGTCCAAAATAGTGTAACCATGCTCGCGGCAGATTTCCAAGTACCTTTACAACGGAAGAGCACCCCACCCCCCCCCCCTTATTGCTACTCAGTTATCTTGATCAGAATTTGATTTATTTGCAATGGCATTCAATGAAAGATACACCTGAAGTTATAAACCTGAGCAAGCCACTACTACCCCAAAAGAGTATCAGTTTCAGTAGATATCTAAAATTAAATTTGAAATGGCCAAAAATCTCTCCCTGAACAATAAGAGCCTTTCTTTCAATATAGCTTGAGAAAGCCTAGACCATCAAACAGCTTCAACTTTGAAAAATTTCTTTAACTTAGAGAATAGTAAAAGTATTTAAAACAAATAGAAATCAATATACTGGCATTCAATATAAAAATTCTGTTAAATTGGTATTTTATACAACTTAAGCATTGATGCGAATTTCTTTCTAGAAATAAATGAATGCCATTCTCTGCCATGTTTTAATGGTGCAACCTGCCAAGATTTATTGAACAGCTTTAGGTGCACGTGCAATCCTGGCTACACCGGAACGCATTGCGAAACAGGTAAATAATACAATTTAACTGTTGAGCGTTACTGACCATGTTGGCTTGGCTTAAGGGACGGACTGGTCAGGTGAAAAATTGGTATGCTGCCTCAACGGTCCTCACCAGTAAGTTCCCATTAGTAAGTACCCATCAGTAAGTATTCATAGGACCCCTTTTTCATGCTGGAATATTTTGATAATTCGTTTATTCAAATGTGTACCATCCTCTATATATTGTGAAAAAAATAATAAAGAAAAGAAATCACAACGTATGTTTTAGCTTGCTTATGTTAAGAAAATGGTCTCATAAACATTGGTATAAGTTGGAAGTCCCGACGAACCTCTTTAAGTACCCGGGTTGATTTACATTAAGTACCAAAAATCTCGTTTTACACCGATGGACTTTCAAAGTAGCCAAAAGAATTTCCTTGATATTGTTTAAGAAATAACTTCACTTCATTCTTTCAAATATCAATACTTGCTTATATAGATATCGACGAATGTGCCAGCTCTCCTTGCCAAAGTGGAGGGACTTGCTCTGACAGAGTCAATGAATATACCTGCAACTGTGCTCCAGGATTCGAAGGAACAGTTTGTGAGATAAGTAAGTAGTCATGGCTTTAAAATCGTTTTTTATATACTTAAGAAGACCGGGGATATCAAGAAGAAATGATTGTTGGCATACATTATATAAAGAAGATACCTTTTGTTTTATTATAGTTAGTCTTTTTGTTAAAGGGTTGGAATGATTTTGAGCAAGGATATGATTGAAACATTATTTTGAAGACCCTTTGTAATTCTGATCTGAAAAGTTGCCTATTTGGATTTCTGTAGTTCATGTTTTTTTTATTAGGTTGAACATTTTTGAGAGAACATTTCTATTATTTTTATCACCAATAGACATCAACGAATGCTCAAGCAGTCCATGTCAAAATGGTGGAACATGCCATGACGAAGTAAACAGATTCCGTTGCCAGTGTTCTCCTGGATATACCGGCGCTCTTTGCTCTACAGGTACGCAAACGACTTGATATAAAAATTGTATTCTTGAAACCTCTCTCGAGCAGTAGCTTTCAAAATTTTCCAAGGTAACTTTAACTAAAAATTTTCATTGGCAGGATGGCAATCATTTTATTAACTTAAACTTTCTTTGAAAAGCTCTGAAAGCCTCCTTGTATTACCAAAAGATAAATATGTTCTCTTCTATTTGTGCAGAAATCAACGAATGTGATAGCAATCCTTGTCAAAATGGTGGAAGCTGCAATGACTATTTGAATTATTTCTCCTGCTCTTGCAACCCAGGATACGGTGGACCAACATGTGGGACAAGTAAGGCATTTCATTAACTTATCTTCTTGCATACTGATCGTATCATTAAAATCTTGCTTACTTGCCAGCTTGGTATTTCGTAGTGCTACTTTTTATGCAAGATCTGCTTTTTTATTGAGTTTCATTTGAACTACAGCTTTTAACTTCTAAGTCAATTTGTAGTCCACTATGATCTTCTGTCCTTTCGCAAACCTTAGCTTCAAAAGATGGTTAATAGCAACCAAATTCGTGTCACTAACGAAAAAGTCTGTAAAAGTCACATATATTCCTCTTATTACGCAGATATTAACGAATGTGCCAGCAATCCTTGTCAAAATGGTGGAAGCTGCAATGACTATTTGAATTATTTCTCCTGCTTTTGCAATCCAGGATACGGTGGACCAACATGTGGGACAAGTAAGGCATTTCATTAACTTATCTTCTTGCATACTGATCGTATCATTAAAATCTTGCTTACTTGCCAGCTTGGTATTTCGTAGTGCTACTTTTTATGCAAGATCTGCTTTTTTATTGAGTTTCATTTGAACTACAGCTTTTAACTTCTAAGTCAATTTGTAGTCCACTATGATCTTCTGTCCTTTCGCAAACCTTATATTCAAAAGATGGTTAATAGCAACCAGTTTCGTGTCACTAACGAAAAAGTCTGTAAAAGTCACATATATTCCTCTTATTACGCAGATATTAACGAATGTGCCAGCAATCCTTGTCAAAATGGTGGAAGCTGCAATGACTATTTGAATTATTTCTCCTGCTTTTGCAATCCAGGATACGGTGGACCAACATGTGGGACAAGTAAGGCATTTCATTAACTTATCTTCTTGCATACTGATCGTATCATTAAAATCTTGCTTTCTTGCCAGCTTGGTATTTTGTAGTGCTACTTTTTTTGCAAGATCTGCTTTTTTATTGAGTTTCATTTGAACTACAGCTTTCAACTTCTAAGTCAATTTGTAGTCCACTATGATCTTCTGTCCTTTCGCAAACCTTATATTCAAAAGATGGTTAATAGCAACCAAATTCGTGTCACTAACGAAAAAGTCTGTAAAAGTCACATATATTCCTCTTATTACGCAGATATTAACGAATGTGCCAGCAATCCTTGTCAAAATGGTGGAAGCTGCAATGACTATTTGAATTATTTCTCCTGCTTTTGCAATCCAGGATACGATGGACCAACATGTGGGATAAGTAAGGCATTTCATCCATTTATCTTTTTGCATACTGATCGTATCATTAATTACTTGCTTACTTACCACCTTGGTATTTCGTCTGAAAATTTATTTTCACTTCAAAACGGAAAATTTTCAGTAAATTTTTATATTAATGATCTCCTAACTTCTTTGACTTGGGTTTATCTAGAGCTGGTTTTGGTGGAAACAGTCATAATAGGAGTAGTTACCTTTAATAAATCAACTTATACTGTTTGGCCTTTTTATTAAGTCAGATGTATTTATGTGAACCTACAATGACTAAATTATTTTTTAAACAAGATTAAATTTTTCACAAATGCTCATCGCACATAATAATCTTTACTATTTCAAAAGACCTTTCTACCCAAGAATCTATTTGATGTTTTCTGGACATTAGCGCAGATCTAGCAAACTCAGATAAATGCAGAGCTTATCTTTGTTCTTTAAAATAAATTTTAGCATTTTAGAAAGTTCCTTTTCGGATTATATGTTTATGTTCAAGCTTACTTCTGTTGCAGACATAGATGAATGTGCTAGCATGCCATGTCAAAACGGTGGACAATGCATTGATCATTTGAATATGTACTCCTGTGTATGTGCACCTGGTTACTCCGGGTACAACTGCGAAAGAGGTATGAAATTGTCTCTTGATAGTAACCGAGAGGGACAGTACAATTGAACCGGCATGTGCGATGACTGTATTCAATGATTCGTTTCGGAAGACACATAGCAAATGTTTCTTTGGTAGACTTGATCCAAGCAACTTAGTACCCGCTTTTAAATCACTGTCGTTTGGCAGATGAAAAATACAGTGTTTAAAAAGTCGTCATAGAGACCAATCTTTTTAAGTTTGAAACAGATTCTGGTGCCAAGAGGTTGACCAATATACTTGCTCCAGCCTAATTAATTTCTGGTAACGCATATCTCCAAGTTTAGATTGGTTTACACCAGTGAATTGTGAGCTGTGAAGAGTCAATTTAATTAGATGGAGAGAGCACCGTAAATTGGACTTTATTTGGCACAACTCAATAAGTAACACACCATCATTGTCTAGCCAAATTTGATTTGGTTTAGTATTGTAATTATTGCTCGTTGCGCTAGCACTTTGCTTCTCAATAATCTTCGTTGCCAATCATCAATCATCTACGAATTGCATTTTTGCGTGTAAATAGAGAAGAAATAAGCTTAATTGTCTACTTGAAAATTAGTTTAACTAGAATACATTTGTGTTCACGGCAAATTGTGCAAAAAATTTTATTCATGCTGAAACACAAGTGCGACATTTTCAAGCATTTGCCGGACATTTGTATGCTGGTATGCTTAACATGGTAGCTAATTTAGCTGTCGATCTTGAAGTGTGTTAACAATGTCGATTTTGAAATGTGATATGCCAGTATTTGCTTAGAGACATTCTGCATCTACATTTGTCGTGTAAATATCGAGCTGAATTTCTACAAGTTCATAGGAGATATATTGATATTGAAGTGGATGTTAGCATCTCGATATCATATTTTTCTATTGACATTGATAGTTATCTATTTTGATTGCAACCAGTTGCTTTTGATGTGGAACTGTTCTTTGCATTAGTAATTATATATGCAAACAATTATATTTTTGACAGATATCAATGAATGTGCAAGCTCTCCTTGCCAAAATGGAGGAACTTGCAACAACCTAGTTAATCATTTTACATGCACTTGTGCTTCTGGGTACACTGGAACAATATGCTCAATGTAAGTTAACACTTAATCTTGGCACTTAAATCGTTGATGGCACTTCTCAATGAGTTGCCACTTACTTATCGTAAACATGAAAAAAATCAGGAGAAATAAAAAATAATAAATCAATATTCAGAAATAAAAGACCATTTTCAGCTCAAATGTTTCAAAATGTCATTTCGTTTGGATATTTTTAACTGTTTACTTGTTGTCGGTAGGACTTTTGGAGGTTGGGGAAGATGAAGAAGAAGACGAATCTAGCCATTAAAAAAATAGAAGAACAATCCTTGGTTCTTTATTGACCGGAAAGTTTTAAAATTTCTGGCTTCTTCATTAGACGAATTCATTTAAATGAAGGCAAACAATGAAACTGGAAATGATTGGAGTGACTTAAGCTACGTTCAGCAAAGCCATTGAAAAAAGTATAGTAAAACAACTACGAGAACTCCGTAAAATTAAAAACTTTAAATAATTTAAGACAAACCGTTTTAACTAACATTAAGGAACATTTTAACTAAGATTAAAATTAAATTTGAATGTATATAGTTAGATCTGCATTTTATTTATTTAATGTATTCTACTTTTATTTAATGAGATTCACTTTTAATATGTCAATTTAAGGCTCAGGGCATAGCACACACATTGAAAACAGCGGTCGCGTTGAAGTGCAAACCCTAAATATATATATATATATTCTGATTCAGATGTTTTGCGCATCGATAAATCAGATTTTCTGTCTATAAAATTTAGCCCTATTTGTTTTTCTCAAAGTTTTACTTGTCTCTTATGAATAAAAGTTTTAAAAACTGATTTTAAGTAAATTATTTATGGTTTGGTCTTACGCTTTGTCAGTAAAAAGACACTTGATAATACGACTTTTCCTCGATCGATGCAATTAATGCGTTCGGTTTTCACTTGGCAATAACACTGTCGTGCATTCAGTAAAAAAGTGGTAAAATCAACTTTGATTTAAGGCAGTTGTTCCAGACAGTTCCAGACAGTTAGATGATGCTTCTAAATGTGATATCATGTGAGTTAGATGTGATGGGGGGCTCTACAGCTCTGCCTGCTTCCATCGATGATAGGTAATATTATTTCAAGTATTTCAAATTGGGTTCATAGTTCTGAACTTATTAGCTTACGCTAAATTCTGCACAAGAGTAAGCTTTGAAGCATATGCCTTTTCATCTTGCATATCCAGACAACGTGAACACGTACGTTTTCCGCATGTCCATGCGGGAAGCTTGAAACAATATGCCATAAGCTTTTTCAGTTCATAGTTTCCAGACATGCCGTCGAGGAATGTTCCTCTTGCCCTTCTACTTGTACGGAGAAAAAATTAAAAGGAACAGCAAAACATGCTGGTATGTTCTACCTACAAATACTTTGCGAACCGTTTGGGGGGGATTGTGCCGTTATTGTCAACGAGTCGCGTTTGATGTCAATGATTCCTGTATAAATAGCCATTTTTCTTGCTCCTGTCCAATAATTAAATATTTCTGCCGATTCCTTACCCTGGGTTCCAGACCGACGCTCCTCTAGTAAGGAATCATACATGTGGGGGTATTTTTGTATCTCTTCACAAAGTTTTCTTTCAGAGTCGGCCATTGCTAAGACATTTTCCGTACGGAAGGCAAAAAAAGTTGAAGATTTCTCAACTCGATAAGTTCAAGGCATACGGGTTTGCGGAAAACAGAATAAACTTCCTTGCGCTGACACGCAAAACTATTTTTTGATATAATGTAGAAAATGATGCATGGAATCTTAATTTCAAGTTTTCGGTTAATTATTATTGTCCGTACTATATAGCTAGGTATTTACGAAATAATAGTGATTACAAAAGATACTACTCCCAAGATTAATTAGATAAATTGAATGAAGATACAAAAATCCCAAATGAAATAATTAATGAGCCTAAAGGTGCAATTAGATAATAAAAGGAATTATAAACAATCGAATGTACAAAAGGTGTTAAATAACTAAGGTTACAAGTTGTAAAACAAACGAAATCCAAACTAGCACTATTACACCATTCGGGAGAAAATCATGAGAGAATTCCTAGAAAGACTCAAAGATAGTTCTGGCAAGTTCTTGCAGGAAGAAACGTCTGGAACCTCAAATATGCGGACGACACGACGATTCAGGTCCAGAAAGGAATGCAAAGAGATGGGCGAGGAAATGATGACCGTTAGCAAAGAAGTGGACCTCTACATCAATAAATCCATTTGCAATGAAAGTGCACGGAGGTGGAGAGTTGGAGATCGATGGTGAAAGGATTGAGGAAGTGAAAAAAGGTGAAACTCAGGGGATCATAAAGAGTAGAATTTCTCATTTCTTGAACTGTTGCAGACAAAATGGCAGAAATGTGGCAGTCAGGAGAATTGAGCATTCGTCTTAAAGTAAGACTAAACTATGATGGTTTGGAGCATAGTTTTGTATGGTTGTGAAACGTGAACCATAAATAAGTAAGACAGATAAAGATCAATGCCTTTGAGATGTGCCTGTGGAGAAAAAAGATGAGAGTTAGACAGGGGTGGCGCTAGAGACAAACCTTCAAGGTGCCGAAGTTTATATTCTCCGTAACTGCCGACGCTGAATGTGTCAAATTGCCGACAGGCAGGGCCGTCGCGAGGCAAGCCTTGTTTGGGGTGAGGTGTGTAATGCAAATTTACCTGATTAAAAAATTATTGCCTTAAACTTTTTAGCTGGTGTCACAAACCTCTGCAATACATTTTGTCAATCTAACTCTGTATGATAATAACCGACTTTCCTAATAGTCTTGTCAAATCTCTATATCGGGACGGGCAAAATATATAGTTACTACCTGAGGCGGCACCATGGTTGCCGCCGAAGGGACAGGAAATGCACTCTTTTAAGCAGATTTCACTAAAGCAATCCTCCTAATCCTATTGAAAATTATTGTCTTTTTGCAAAACTTTTTTACAGCAGTTAAAAACAACATCTTTGCCGTGGTCTTGAAAAATACCAGGTTGTCAGTTACTTCTAAATTTAGATCCCTCTTTCCATCTTAGCATGCCTTTTGAATGTTAAGGAAAATATGGAGCTCATAGTGAATTGCAGTTGACGCTTCTACTGGGAAACTTTAGGAGAAATGGACACGAGGCACAATTTTACCTAAGATAGCTTGATCCTTCATTGATTTTATGACAGGAAAGTCTCTGAAATACCTAAAGCGTTTCTTCCACCGAGCGGATTTTACCTGAAATTTCCTATTGAGATACTATTGGGGTGGGTGTGACAACCCCCCAGTCGCGAAGCCCCTGAGCAGCACCTCCAATGAAGGGGCACCGAGGGGTCATGGCCCCCACTTTTTTACAAAGCAATAGAGCATTTTTCCAAAATCTTTTGTTGTGGGTGCAAAATTCTCCCTTGACCCCTCCCCACTCCCCACTTTCCAACCTGTGTCGGAGTCCACGAGATTTTCTCGGCAATTTGTGCCTTGTAAGAAACTTAATGCGCAAATATTGCCTATAGTTGAATATTTCTTCCTATCTATGGTGGAAGAAGTTAATCGATGGTTTTCTCTAAACCATTTGTTTGTCACAAGCTATGCGGTGAACAATGCTATTGAAAAATAGTTGATGAAAAAGGAAAAGAAATGCTTTTTGAAAAATCTATTACGCAAAATGTGCTCATGATCGAAATGTTTTCATTGGCAATAATAATGTCTTGAAACGAAAAGAGAATCCCTAAAATTCATTAAAGACTTTATTTATGACAGCGTGATTTTGCTGTTGTTAGGGTAAATTTCCTTGAAACGGTCCAAAACATGATTCAAATCAAGCATCTCTGCACGATTCGCATGAATTCCAAGCAGCAACAGGGATTTCAACTGAGAGGGGCACCATGGTGGGTCATGCGAGGGAGCACCATGAAATTAAGTCACAGCTTTCACGGGAGCGACAGGATATAATGCCACTATGATAATAAAATTGCCGAAGAAAAGCCATTGAGAAAACCATAAACCAGCCAGTGCAGTTTTCTCCTCGATTATTTATGTCATTCAAAAACATGTAAACCGGGTGACATCCATCAAGTGCCGACGGTATTGAGAAAGCAAAAATTGATTGGCTGCCGACGGGGGGGCTAACAAAAATCTAGGGGGGGCTAAAGCCCCCCCTTGCCCCCCATGCCACCACTCCTGGAGTTAGATGGACAGAGAGAGGAAAAAATGAGTGGGTAATAGAACAAGTAGGAGTAACCATAAATCATAGGGTGTCGCGTGAAGTTCGAAAAAGAAAATTCAGAGAATATGGCCATTGGAAGAGGAGAGGTGACAGCTTGGTACTTTCTTCCATTGAAGGGGGGACGGAAGGAGAAAGAAAGAGAGGGAGAGAGAGAGAGAGAAGAATGGATGACAAAAACCATAATATGGCAAGGCGAAATGAAGCAAGCTTATAGACATGCTTATAAGAGGAGGTCAATGGTCCAATCTTGATGGACTTCGGCAACATCATTCATTCATTTACTTCTGTATTGATTGCATAATACCTATAATCTATTTAATCATTTGAAAACAGGTCAAATCTGACAAAACATCCAAAAATGAATCATAATATTAATTATAAATCAATAGATGGAACTGCATAAAATGTAATACCTGCATAAAAAACTTACCATAAATACATTTGATTCGATTGATGATGCGAAGAGCACTATTCACGACGAATGTAATGAACTAAAGAAAGAGAAACCCACTATTGTTTGCTTTTGCAAAGAACCCGTTGGCAAGATTCATCTTGTCCCCTGGCTTCAATTTGTTTCATGATAATTGCTATGGATATCGTTTGATATGCAATAAGCTTGTTTTTTATAAGGCGGTGATCATGGGTTGTTTAAGAAAACAGGAGAAGAGGACAGATGCAGGCATGCTTAATGATGGTATTTACTTAAATTCTAGAATTATTTGATACTTGTTTACTTTTAGAGTTGTTTAATTCAAAAGAAAATCTCAGGCACAAGTTAAATGAGAACGGAATTGAAGGAGCCTTTTCAAACAAAAATTAAGATTGTTTTGATTGTTTGAAAGAAATTTAATCAGAGTTTAGTTCACTAGGGATATTTGTCCTTTGATTGATCCATATTTGTCTACTATTCGTTATTGTCTCTTTTGACGTGATTCTTCATGCTTCATTTGCATCTTTGGAGGAAGAGGGGGGTGGCTGGGTCAATGTGTGAGTCTCACCTTGCTTGGTGAAACCTTGCTACTAGAGAGTTAATTTCTTTTTATCATTTTGTTTCTCTATATAAAAATTTGCTTTTCGGTTTAACTCTGACAGTTTCTATTTGTTCTTCAAGCATTATGAAAATTTCTCCCACCTAAGGGCATCTTTTAAGCTATTTGATGTTTTGATTCTTTTAGTCACCGGCTTTTAGTCTTTTAGTCGCTGGTGCTTCGGCTCATAATGGGGAAAAGACAACTTTATTTTCCATTTCCTCCCCTTTATCAGTTTATGGTAGGTTGAGCAATTTTGTCCAAATGTGTGGACGTAGCCCACGATTGACTTCCTGATGTCTATGACCTTTTTCTGTTGGAATTTTTACCCTACAGAGCAGCAATGCTGCAGGTCTGTATCCTTCTTATACAATTGGCTTTCAGCAATGTTTACTTTTCGTAAACCTGGGATTCCACAGACAGATGTCTCTGTGCTTTCCCTCGGCCAAACAGCACAAACAGATGTTCACTTCTGGTGTTCCCGCTTCAGTGCAAACGGATTCTTATCGTGGGCTGATCAATAAAAATGATGTTAAAATGTACTTATAAAATCGAATTTCAAGATTTGAACAATGACAAAAAATATTTTTACTATTAAAAGATGATTCGCTGCGATTCTCTGTCCTACCAAATCTTACTTCAGTTGCTTTGGTAGATTCACCCCATCCACGAGCATCAACAAAACAACAGTGTCCCGCGACCTGACACCTTTGTCCTCTAACAAGTTCGTTTCCTTTCTCGTAAAAACTTAAATCATGGTGTAGAAAGTTTCCACATACTGTATTTACTTTGAAAGACTGTATTTACTGCATAATTTGAAAATGAGAGGCCATGTTTCTTTCTTGGAATGGTCATTCTTAAAGCAGGATTCACGGAACATGGAAAAGAAGGTGTCTTGAAGGGGGTGACTTAAAAGTATAAAAAATGTGGTAGTCCAAAAAGTTGGGAGGACAATGGGCGGCGCCAGGTACTGCAGAATGGAAATTCAAAAGACGTGACCAGTGAGACCCCGCTCTTTTCTCTCGTTTCAGTGTACCAGATAAATTGTCCTTAGTTTGAAATATGATCTACCGCTTCCTACCGTCTTAGAATGAATTTCTAGAAAAAATATGCAAAACATGTTTTGACAAAAATAGGGAGAGGGGGTAAATACCCTCCTACCCATATTCCTTCTAGAAGTGCCTTTAATTTTATTTAGTATAATCGATTAGCTTTAAATATTTTAATTGCAACAAATAGAAGGTTTTCTGTTGGAAGCACCTTTTGCGGATTCTGATGTAAGAGTCTATTTTAGAACGCAGGATGTATGACAGAAAGAGTTGTGGCCTGTGATCAATACCTCTTCTCTCATGCTAGGGTTCTTTAACACAGGCTAAGCAGTCACTGATTTGTAAAACCAGGAACTTTTTTCCTGTCTTCAGTCATTATCCGAAGTTTAATCTCTGATGAGTGTCGGACAAAAATACGATAGGCTACGATTCGTATCTTGTTCCTGC